ACTCAGGAATTTTTTTTTTTTTTAGACATTCACCAAGACCTATTTCAGGCCACCTGGTGGTCTAGAAGGAGAAAATGATAATGACGAAGAGTTAATATTTTTTGAGCTTTAATTAGAACCATTCTAAGTGCTATACAAACATCTCATATTTTTCAAAATAACTCTATGAAGTTGGAATTTTTTTTATCACCCAAGAGCTACATTTCCAATCCAATTAATCTGACTCACAACCCAAGCTAGAATTCCAAAAGAATACACACAAATTAAATGACAAACCCCAAATGAGTTAAGTATGAACTGGTGGTATTGTAAAATCCAGAGAAATCTTGTTGGCTTAGGTTATGAAAATATTGATTCCTTTATTTTGCAGATAAAACTTTGATTTTAAGCTTATTAGGAATCCACTGAAGTGACAAATTTAACCAGTTTAACCATTTAGCCAAGATCATCATGGAGCTTCTTAATTATAAGGAGGATGAACCACTTGTGTGGTTTAAAGTTTAATGATTGGGGTGGCATAAAGGTTTACAATCAACCAACAAAGTTCTACTAGGTATTGCTGCTGTAGGTATTTCCCAAGTTCTGCTCTGCAGGGATGTTGTGATACAATGGAAAACACAAGATTTGGAATGAGAAAAACCTCTATCTACCTCCCAATTCTGAGTGACTGTAGGCAAGTGAGTGAAATGGGAATAATAAGCCTTCATAAGATTATTATGTGGTCTATTTGAGACATCAAAGCATTTTGAGCAGACTTTGAAGAAGTCAACAAGTGTTAGCTATTTTCACTCTTCCCATGCCTATTTTCCCTCATCTTGTATCTATGAGTTCAGCATAAGTCCTGAAGAAATGGAGTAAAACAGGCCTGGAGGTGGAGGTGTAGAGAAACAGGAACCCTCTCATGTAAAGCTGATAGAAGGTTATCCCAAGAACAGAAAAAGGGAAAAGGACGTCCATTGAACTTAATTTTCATAATCAGGAGTTGCAAAATTTTACTACATTAAAAATAACTGGAAACTATGTTTTTTTAAAAATAGTGGGCAAGTTTTATTATGCAATAAATTATCAATTTTAAGGACAAATCATGGGTCTTTAGATTCATTAGGACTTGGTTGTATTCAGGAAAATCCAAACTGTAATCCAATTTCATCCTAAACAGTATTAAGACACATGACATTTAAAAACATGAGTGGTATCCACAAGGGGACAAAAATCAAAATAGGGAAAAAGAGAGGCAAAGTAGAACACAGAGAAATCTAGAACTGACTGAAGTGAAAATTGGGGATAATCCAAGAGTTTCTATTTGGAAAATTATGAAACCCTTAACTCATTTGGGGACCTTTAAAAAATCCTGATGTCCCTGAAATATCCAAGAATAGATAGATCAGAATTTCTGAAGAGGCATCCAGGGATCATTACTTTTTACAGCCACCCAGATGATTTCAATACATTGAGATTAAGAATAACAGGTATAGTGAAAACAAGGAAGTCTGTAGGATATTGAGATAATGGACAAAGGGGATGAGTATAATTCTAGTCATATTGAATTCAAATTTCCAACAAGGCATCTCAAAGAGAATTAAGGACTATGTAGATCTCAGGATGGACAGAGCAGCTAAAGATTTTGGAGAGTCATTCGTATATTCAATAAACATCATGAACCAGATACATGGTCCAATAAACAGGGTCCTATTCCCTCTAGGGATTAATTTCCAGGAAGCAGGGAACATATTTCCAAATAATTAAGTAGTATAAAGTGTCAAGGGCTCTAAGACAGAACTATGTACCTGAGACAGGAAAGAAGGGCTCAATTCTCTTGGGAGTAACCAGAAAAGTTTTCATAAAGAAGGAATAAGGAGAAGGTAGGTGAAAGAAATAGAAAAAGAGGAAAAGAAGGCTTTGGAAGTATACAGAAGCATCTGCAGAGCAGAGAGGAGAATGGAAGCAGGTGATCACTGGGAAGTAGCAGAGAAAAAGGAACGTAGGATAGAAAAGGGAAAGCTCAGAGAGCTCAACCAAAGAGGTTGAGCTTGGCTATCAAACTTGCTGATCACATAGCTACAGAAATTAGTTTCCATAGTGGGATATTTAGGGAAGAGACAGTAGATAGTATTTGGAAGTTCTAAACATATTCAAAAAGTGAAGGGTAAAAGAAGTCTGAAGAAAATACTATGGAAGGGATTGGGTGAGCCCACCTAAATACTAAAACAAACAAACAAACAACAACAAAAAAAACAGAAAAGGAGGGTCCCTGTACAAGGAAGAGTTTTGGCCTCATGCTGTGCTGTATTCTATTAGTCTGGAACTGGATGACCTTGGGTCAGTTATTTACCTTCTCTGAGTGTTACTTTTTCCTCTATAAAATGGTGGGAATAGACTATGTGACTTTTAAAGTCATGTCCAAATTGGACAATCTAAAAATTTTAGTGGTTCAAAACAGAATGAAATGAGAAGACAAAAATTATTCTTGGCTATATAAATTGTGGTGGCAGATCACCATCTTACACATATGTGCACTTGCCATGTTTGGTTTCCTCATTCTATAGACACCTCCTCCTAGAACCAACTTTTTTCAAGATGCAAGCTAATTAAAAGTACTACCTACTATCTAGAGCTGTACCCATTAGAGGTAGCATAGCACAGGGGTTCAAGTCATAGGTTTTAGAATCAGACAGTCCTTCACTAGTAATGTGATTGTAAAATAATAATGGTTTTGGTCTCATAAAATTATGGGATCAAATGCATGTAAGTATATGGAATATGTCTAGTTTACAGTCCTACTACAGAAAACATTAACATTCTTGAACAAATACAGAAAAAAAAAAAGCAGGACTCTGTGCTAGGCTAACAAAATTTATAACTGCCCCATTCCTACGTTCTCCATGGTCTCCCTTTTAATCAAACACATGCTTTGAAAACAGTAAAATATCACAATGAACAAATTCAACTAATGGAACAATTTAGGCTTTAGAGTCAGACAACAACGATTCAAACTCTAGCCAAGCCATTCTTAGCTTTATCTTTCTCAATCTCAGATTATATATTTGTAAAAATGATAATACTGCCTACCTCCCAAGAGTATAAAGACTAACTTAAGATAAATTTCGAGTTCCAGGCACAAAGTACATTTTAAATAAGTGGAATTTTGTTTGTTTCCACATAGCATCATGACTTACACATAAATACTTAGTATTCTTGGAATTGAAATTGTGGTAAGATTTTGCTCTTTGTATCCAGATATTTAATCTTTGTTTTTGTCTAGGATTTTGCTCCTTCTCTGAACTTAACCTGGTCGTGAGTTCTATCCTGCCCTGGAACACACTAACATTGAATGATTGATTTCCATGTCTGGCAAAGAGGGGAATCATGAAGTGACAAAATATGGACAGGAATGGCTGCAACCACTGCAAGACAGGGAGAGATGAAAGTGTCTGCCCAGGCATATGTGACATAGAACTCAGACTGTACTCATCCACCTTGATTCTGTTCACCCAGCCATCCTGTCTAGAATATGCTCCTTGCTGCCTTCTCTTGTTCCTGGTGCCTCAGTCCTGCCATGTAAGGGGAATTAGACAAAGGAATATGAAAAAATTAAATATTCTCCCACATAGAAGCAACAGAATTACCTAAAGAATCTACAAGGATGCTTGGTCCCTTCCTAGTTTTCATTCCCTGATGAAAGAGATATTGACACCAATACCAGCCTAAACTAGAATTGACTTTCTCTTGAAAGCAGGATGCAGACAAGACAAAATATTTTGCTAGAGGCTATAACATGAAATACAGATTAGGTTGGTGATGTCACAAAAGAGCTTTTCAACAGTGTCAGCAGAGGCTGTAGTGATGACTAAGGAAGTTGAAAAATGGCACCATCTGAAACAACCAGTCACCCGGGATAAGCAGGTAGAGAACATTAGTTACAACTAGGACTCACCCATTATGAGAAATACCCCCACAACAAGAATGCTTCATTCTAGATTTTAGAATCTCATGTGTTGATTAACTTATGTTAAGAACAAAAATTGAAACCATAGAATTAGAGATCAGAGTGCATTGCAAGTTGGCTTTGACTTCTATACTAAAATATATAAAAGCAAGGACATAAGTCAGATCAGGTCCCCTGGCTGTTGCTAATCACCATTTCCACAGTCAGAAAACAGATTTGTGGAACCGAGTCAGAGTTGACCCACAAGAAGAAAGATGTGCAGGCAGAGGAGCCCATTTATGGCTAATTGGCATCACTAGAGACACCCCATTCTCTAGCAGGCTTCCATGTTGCCTGGAGATTGTAAACATTTCTAAACCGATGCTAACTGAATGTAAAGGAAAAGGAGATAAATTCTGGTTCTAAGAGGGCACGCTAGAAAGGGGCTGGGCTTCTCAAATTCGGATTTACATTCCACAGCACTAGGAAAGCCCCTTTTTCCTTTCAAGAGTCTGGAAAACCCGGCTCCTAGGAGATGTGCTTAGAAACCAAGAGTTTGTGTGGCGGCGCCCTGGCCCTGTGGTCCCTCGAGGAAATGGGAGACAAGGGCTCCGGCTCCTGGGAGGCCCCTTCTCACCAAGCCCACCGGTCCTCCTCCTATCACTGGCATCTTTAAAGGACAGGGCACACGCCTGTGCCTCCGCTGGGGGATCTCTGGGGTGAGGGTGGGAGTAGGGTAAATATTTCTAGCTATTCAATTTACTCAACAGGTCAGACACTGATGTCTTTCCCTTAATTCTGACAATTTTGTGATTTGTGTACATAACCCCATCCTGCCCATCTACAAAGGGCAGCAAAGGGGCGTAGGAAGGGGCGGCAATCCGTCTAGGAGTAGAGGTGGGGTCTTCCAATTCCCAGGCTGGCACACATCTCACTCCTACGGGTAGCACTTGGAGCGGGAAGCAGCGGCCCTGGCCCGATCCCCGGGTGCACGCGGCAGGTGTGTGGGACGCCGGGCCCGTTCCGATCCCCGCCCCGCCCCGCCCCCGATCCCCGCCCCCGGGTGCCCGCCCTGCGCCGGGTGCCGGGCGCCCCGCAGCGGCCGGGCAGGACGTGCCTCCTCCAACCGCGCCCGCGCCCGCGCCCGCCGAGCGCTCGGTGAAAAGGAAGGAGGAGCCAGGGGCACCGAGCGGGTGGAGTCGGGAGTCGGAGGGCGGTGGAAGCGGATTTCCTGGGCCGGCTCTCTGGAGCTGCCATGGCGTTTGGGAAGAGTCACCGGGATCCCTATTCGACCTCCGTGGGCCACCTCGTAGGTAAGGAGGCGCGGGGAGAGACACCCGGGAAGGCCTTGGCAACCGCGGGATCCTTTCCCACTGGACTCCATTCTTGGCCTGCGGAGGACGGAGTTGGACCAAGTTGGAGGAAATCCTTCCCCTCCCCCGCAACTTTCCCAAGGCACCTGCGTCCCTTTGGGGGCCCCGTCTCCGCAATTCTTTCTGAGCCATCTCGCCCTAGACCCCACTTTCAAAAACGCCTCTCCCCTTTGATGCCACCTGGGGAGCGGAACGAAACAGGTGACCCACCGCGCACAGGCATGGAGTATCTGGACTTTTACCTGAAGAGACCGGAAACTTCGTGGCCAAGGAAAGGTTCTCCCTAAAGTGCGTTCACTCGCGGGCACGGTGTTGTGGTGCCCATTTTACAGACCGGGAAGAGAAGGCTGAGAGAGGTTAATTGATGTGATCTCATCTGAGAGACAGGTTTCTCCAGAACAGTTTCCTCAAGTGTCCAGCTCATGCAACCTGAGTTGCCTTTCTGGGTAAACAAAGAATGAAAATGCCCAGCGTTGGAGTGCAGGAAAGGGGGGAATTAGGTGGAGCTTTGTGGAGTCACAGAAGCCTTTACAAGACCATGAGAGACAATTCAAGCATCGCCCTCGCTCGTTTCTCTCTCCTGTGGCTGTGCACCGAGTTATGTTGGTGGTATCAGAAGCTGATGATTGCGCTCTGAACCAGCGGGGAGCCAGCTCCCCTCTCCCTCTTTTCCCTGATTCCTCCCTTGGGGATGGGGTGTGGCACCATACAAGTTATCTGTCTGTGGGGTGATGAAATCCCGAGATCCTGGTAGTTGTAGTAAGAATCACAGCTCAGTTAACTGCTGTGTGACACAGAGCACACCACTGAACCCATGTCCACATCTTTATAAGATAGGAGTGTGGCCACCACCGAGGGGAATTGTTTTCTTAACTGTCCATACCATTGTTGGATAGCATGACCCCTGAGAAGATATGGGCTCAGGATGAATCTTCATAGGCAACAGAAACTTAAGCAGTACATCTGATTAATTCCTTGGTTCTATGAACATTTCCTGAACTAGGCATAGGTGGTCTCACACCTCAGGGCACTCGCTATGTTCCTGGGAGGATGGGCACATTTTGTAGTAACAACTATAGACCTTTTTGATACAAGAAAAATGTATAGTGTACAGAACTTATGAAAATGAAGAGAAGAACTCCTCCTTAGCTTTTGAAGGGTGAATAGGAGTTTTCCGAGAAGATGAGAAGGTTGGGAAGAAGAGCAGGGAATGGGGAAGAAACACCTGGCAGATGGAACAGCAGTCTAGGCCTAACTGCACAGTGTTGGCCAGCTGTGTCCATTCAGTGCCAGATTCAAAGAGCTCTTTTCCTAGACCAGAAGCAAGTTAAACTTTGGGGTTCTGCTACCAAATCATTATTCCTTCTTATTCTTCTCTAGTCTTTTTCGTTGTTTTGCGTCCATTTTTCTCAGCATCTCTTGTGTGTTTGTGCTTAGCAGTCTTCTCCTTTGTCACAGGAAGATATTAAACTCAGTTACATTGGGTGTGCTATTATCCTTCCCAGATAACATTTTGTGTTCTTTTCCTTTTTCCTTTTTTTGTTGGCAGTATTGGAGTTTGAACTTGAACTCAGGGCCTCCTGCTTGGTAGCCTGTCCTCTACCACTTGAGCCACATCCCCAACCCTTTTTACATTAGTTATTTTTCAGATAGGACCTCACACTTTTTGAGTACTGGCACTGACATCTATGCCTCTGGCATAGCCAGGAATACAGGCATTTACCACACCAACTTTTTTCATGGGCTGGCCTTGAACTGTGATCTTTCAGATCTTTGCCTCCCAAGTAGCTTGGATGACAGCCATATAACACCATGTCTTGCCCAACATTTTGTGCTCTTAAAGAGGATCCCTGGAGAGGGGAACATATCTTATTATTTAATAATAAGATCCCAGGTACAGAGGCATGCAAGACTGCCAGGTGTCGAATGGTTAGGTATAGATGCCAGAAATGATCTTGCTCAGTAATTCTGATCTCTCGCCCTTTTTCTCACTTCTCCCTCTAAATGGTTTTGTTTTTTAAATAAAAGACTAACACTGGGATCAACCTCAGTTTGAATGCAAGATCTACCTCCTACTTGCTGTGTAAACTTGGTGGGGTGATAAAATCCTGAGATTCTGGTAGTTGTAGTAAGGAAGGTTAGATTTGGAGACTTTAGTTCACAGCTCAATTAACTGCTGTGTGACAGGTAGCACACAACTGAATCTGTTTCCGCATCTTTATAAGATCTCCTTAACCTGTCTCAATTTGTTTCATCATCTCTACAGTGGTTTAAATGAGATTGTGTAAGATTAAGATACTAGTAATGGGCAATTCACTTTGTAGGTGGCACAGTAGCTGCAGTTCTGTAGTTCCATTCTTTGAAAGTCAGGCAGGTGGAGATTTAGTCAGTCTGTTTTGGCCCTGTGGCCAGGTGTTGGGCTTATAATCTTTATTAATAGGTCAGTCATTACTGTAGCCACAGCAACACTCTGAACTTGAATTCTGATTGATTCCTGAATTACTGAAAATTGTTCAGGAAAAAAAAAAATCACTTGCCTTTTGGTAACACGAACATAATGGTACTTGCTAGTGCACCAGGCAGATTATTTCAGGGAGACCAGACATTTTTTATTCTGTTGTAGCTCAGACTCAACACAAGTGGCTTTCTCTTTGTAGAAAAGGCCACATTTGCTGGAGTTCAGACTGAAGACTGGGGCCAGTTCCTGCATATCTGTGATATAATTAACACTACCCAGGATGGGTAAGTTCTCTGTTAGACCTATGTGTTTGTCCTTGGTAAGACATTTCAGAACTGGAGAATGTTTTCTCTTGCCAGCTCTTTGTCTTTCTTGTAGAAAGAGTGTTTTCATCAGCCATTAGGTATCTGCTACCTTGCAAAGAAGTCAGGTTGACATATCATGGCAGCTTCTTGCTCCAGCATGTGGGAATGTCTGAGAATCCATTATCATTTGTTCCCTCTCCTCTTTGCTTTTCCTTAATAGGTTCCAATTTTGTTTTTGTAAACCTAAAATTCCTTGTGTCTGAAAGATTAAATAAGAGAGATAGATTGTTTCCTTTTAAGGAATTTTTCCTTCTCTGATTGCCAGTGTTTTACATAACTGAAAAACATTACCCAGAAGCTAGTTGACTTCTAGTGGTGACCAGTCTTTGAGCAAATGTCTTTATTATCAGGAAACAATCTAGCAGTTTTTTTTTCCTCTTGTCATGGGACAGTGGGTTTTTTTTTTTCCTTTTTAATGCTAACTCACCCTTTTTCATGCTGTACTCATAAATTATGTACTCTCTTTTTTATTTTATTTCTTTCTTTTTAGTACTGAGGCTTGAACTCAGGGCCTCACGCTTGCTAGGCAAGTGTGCTGTGGCTTGAACATATCCACTGTCCTTTCGATTTTAGTGTGTTTTTAAGATAAGTTGTCACACTAACCTTGCTCAGGTGGGCATTAGACTGTGATCTTGCTACCTCCACCTTCTGAGCAGTTGGGATTACAACCCTGTACCATCATGCCCAGCTGATGTGCTGTCTTTTGACAAGCTTTTTAAACTTTAGAGAACTGAAATTATAAAAAAGTCTTTAACAAGGGTCTACTAGGTTGAATTTAGTTAACTATAGGTTATTATAATGGATGTAATTCTCTTAATCTTCCTGTACATCAAGTGCTAACTGACAGTAAAAGAGATTTACTCTAGCTTATGTTAAAGAAGCAAACATGGCCAGTTAATTGTTGGTTATATATCAGTGGAAAGTGCTTATGGTTAACACTTCTAAGTGTTTATTGTATTCTCTCTATAATCTTATTCACTGCATTTAGATTCTGTGCAACTCTTTTCATTTGTAAAACCAGTTTCTTCATTGATAATACAAAAAGAATCTTACAAAGTGAATTTGGCCCTCTACTTGTTCTAACTTTGTTTCACAAAGTTGTAGCCTATCAGAAGCTGACCTAGTTTGTTGTAACTCTTCTTACTCCTTTTGCCTATAGGGTACTCAGGAAATACTGTCTTAGTTAACGTGGTTACCTTCAATGTTTTGGAAGTTCCATTTCCTCTGAACTGGTTCTGTGCATTGATAGAGGAAAATGTGTATGAACACGTCATGGATGAATAGTGTTTTCTAGGTCATACTCTTATGCATGTATTTTATTTGGTTTTCATAGGGGCAGGTGGAATTGTATGCCTATATTCATGTGAAAATTTAGGTGGAGAAGTTAAGTATCTGCCTGAAGTAACACAGCAGAACCAAGGCCTTATTCTTTTGCATATTGTCCATTGCTCTTTCCATAATGTACATTGCTTTTCAGAGAGACTGCTTGCTTTCCACAATGGGTGATTTCAGTGTATTTATTGCCACAGGCCAAAAGATGCAGTAAAAGCTTTGAAGAAAAGGATCTCTAAAAACTACAATCATAAAGAAATCCAACTTACCTTGTCAGTAAGTGCTTTAATGTTATAATTAAGACAATAGATAACATGTCTGAAATACCAAGGTGAAACTCCCTTGAATAATCAATACATACTTAAAAAAATGAAGACTGGAAGGTGTAACAGGGCCTTTCTGAGGTTGGATACCAGTGGGTGGGGGCGGTCAAAAGGAGAGGGTGAAAAAGGTCTAATATGGTGGATCTATTTTTTATTTTTGCATGAAATTATAACAATGAAACCTGTTGAAATTGTTCTAAGTAGGCGGTGAAGGAGGGTAAGGGAGAAAGATGGAGGGCGTGAATCTAAGATACACTGTAAGTGCATCTATAAATGTCACAGTGTATCCCCCTGTACAACTATTATATGCTAATAAAAAATACTCTAGGATTTCCCAAACTGTAGTCACATTTTTTATGTACTGAGTACATATATATATTATTCTGTGATAGCTATTTAGGTTAGCAGAGTTATGTACTGTATGAATTAAGACTTTCATTCATTGGAAGTTACAAAATAAAGTTTAATTGACTGTAATAGCATTTAGTTTTGTAGAAAAACTATCCGTGGAGAATCGGTTTTTTCCTGATCAGTTAAAAACTTGTAGGTGCTAAACTGATCAAGAAGTTTATGTATCAGTTAATTGTAATTGAAGATAAGGGAATTAAAGTCTTGAAAAATATTTCCCTATTAGCTTTCTGCCTCCCTTGAATATTTTTGTAAGGTGCTGGTAGATCATAAAGGTTCAACTATGTTCTGCTTCTTGGAGAATGTTCTTTGTTGATTTAAGTAATTCTTTTGTGTACCATATTGTCTGTGACTTTGTGGACTCTTTAGTTGACATGTTTACATTTCTCCCGTTTTTGGCTCTATGACCTCTTCAGTCATGTTGGTGAGTTTTCACTTTTTTCTTTGGTATGTGTTATAAGCTCTGCCTGCTGCCTGGGAATGAGCTGTGTGGCTTTCTCATTTTTTCTGCATGCCTTTATTTACCTTTACTTGGCCCTGAGCCATGCATGGTTATGGAATTCATTGGCCAGTATCACATTGTTCTTAAGAACCATGGGAATGTGCATCCAGAGGGCTGTGGGACAGAGGTGAGCACAGCTCCCAGTATCTAGAAGACAGAGTATCACATCTTATGTACTTGGAGACTAACCAAATGAGTACTAAATTGAACAATCTTCACGATGCAGTCACTACAGAAATCCTTCAAGTTGGGATTTGAATATAATTTCAGAGACATATTCCTCCTTCCCTGTTTTTTGGACTCTCTCCTGTCTTTAACTCACAGCAGCCACCTCAGGAAAATTACAGAATGATGGAAACTATGGAGTAAGGAACTTCTGCAGAAATACCAGAACAGTGGATCCATGATAGAAATGCCTGACACCTGTACATCAGCAGAGATGGTTGTGTTATTAGTTCCATTTCACAGATGAGACTAAGAGAGCTTCAATGGTTTTTCTAAGATTAAATGATTGTTATGTAGTCTAGGTTGGATTTGAACCCAGTCCTCACATCCTAAATTCCATGCCCTTCCCCTATACTACCACTTTAGTTCTCAGAATGAATCAAGATTCTTAAAATAACTGCCTATTGTGTTTCATTTGTGTCTTCATCTCCTTCCTACATGTGTGGTGCAAGGCCAGGTATATTAGTGTATTAGGTGTTGACTGAATTAATGATTCAGTCATGAACTCAACCCTCCCCCTCCATACATACCTCATCCCATCTGTCCTAGTGTCCAGGAAGACTCAGGGCTAATGAAAGGTACTGTAGAGCTAGAGTAGAAAGAAATATGGATATTCCCTAAAATGAAGTGGATCTAGGGTATCTCAAGGATGTAGCAGATTAGCAGAATTGAGTGAGGAAGATAAGAGAAGGAGATGAGTTTGTTCCACCTTGCCACCTGACAGTTGTTCAACTTTAGAATGGTTTGCCTCTGTGTGTTGTATCCAGCCTACTCAACATTTCAGTGGTTGCCTGTCTCCATGTCCATATGTTCCTCCCTCATGGTTCCTTTCCTCTGAGGCTGGACCTGGGCCTTCTAAGAAGAACTTGGGTTACTCTAGAGTGTTATCTGTCTGATCCTCCATTTCTCTTTGGGCTCCCACTCTTCCTTTCCAGTAGTCACGTTTCAAGTCTTACTACTAGCTTGCTTTTCTCCATTACCTGACCACCTTATAACTGTAGCCCCTCTGCGTCATGATTTCCATACCAGTATGTGAGAACAAGAGAATCTAAAATCAGTGTTTAAATAAGGGTGAGTTGCGTTCTCTGTGTTGTGCTTGTAAGGGCCACGTGCCTAACACAACAAGGGGATTGGACTTTGAGCACATGATAAAAGCGAGAGCACACAAGGGAGGGGTGAGGATAGGTAAGACACCAAAAAAACTAGCTAGCATTTGTTGCCCTTAATGCAGAGAAACTAAAGCAGATACCTTAAAAGCAACTGAGGCCAATAGGAAAAGGGGACCAGGAACTAGAGAAAAGGTGAGATCAAAAAGAATTAACCTAGAAGGTAACACCCACGCACAGGAAATCAATGTGAGTCAATGCCCTGTATAGCTATCCTTATCTCAACCAGCAAAAACCCTTGTTCCTTCCTATTATGGCTTATACTCTCTCTTCAACAAAATTAGAGATAAGGGCAAAATAGTTTCTGCTGGGTATTGAGGGGGTGGGGGGAGAGGGAGGGGGCGGGGTGGGTGGTAAGCGAGGGGGTGGGGGCAGGGGGTAGAAATGACCCAAGCATTGTATGCACATATGAATAATAAAACAATAAAAATTAAAAAAAAAAGGCCACATGCCTCATCTCAGCTCGTTCATGGCCTTGAAGAGGTATGTTCAAGGCCTCAGCACTAACTTCATGATTTCAGTATTCACTTAAGCCAAACTGAATTATGAGGGAGATTAGTCACAGAAGGAATTGCCCAGTGTCTGTCAAAGGCAATTATAAGTTTACCAGTAAACTGTTTAAAAAGTAATCCCCATATGTGACATTTCTATCTAATTGCTGTGAAGTGATGAGAGTCTGTCAAAGTCAATTATAAGTGTTCTTTATACTGTGTGTCATTTTGGGTTCTCTGTGGACTTGTTATCCTTGATTAGTCCTTTGATGGAATCTGACTGTACTATGAGTTCCAACAGTCAGTTGATGGAGCAGTTTTATCAAGAAGCCAGTAATTTCTTTTGTTTGTTTTTGCAATGCTATGGTCTTGTACCCAGTAGACAAGTGCTCTACCATTGAGCTACACTCCCAGTCCAAAAAGTCAGTAGTTCTATTTTATTTATTTATGTTTTTAAAGTACTGCTACCAGGCTTTATTGCTCTGAGCCAGAGACTAGACTTTTCTTGAATGAGATGATTGTGACAAATCTTAGCAAGATACTACGTCTCATTGTCAAATGGAAAGTGGTTGAACAGGTTCCTGAGAATCAAAGAATTTCATAGACCTGTATGAACACCTACTGCATGGAGAGCTGTAGTGGTTTCAGAAGACATAGAAAACATGGTTATTCTACAGAGGTTCTCATAGTTAGGATGAGAAGACACAGCTTTCTCTAGGAGTGTCTAGTAGGGTGAGGGTCTTGGTGTGGACACCATGGTGGTCCAGGTATTGTCTCAACTCTGATGACCCTGAAACCTGGTTGTTGTCACTGAGCCTGGTTTAGAAAGTTATTGTGAGAAACGAAACTGCCAAGTAGCTATTTTTCTTCCAGCCCTCTCCAGAGAGAATACTTATATCCATTGATGAGTGCATTCTCTTCTGCTAGGAAGTCCTCCACAGAAGCAGATAATGTAGTAGTTGCAACTAAGGTCCAAAACAAACCCCTCTCTACAAGCCTCTAACGGGAGGTATGATTTCCATTTTGCAAATACCTCGCCTAGTTATCTAGCTAGGTATTTGCTCAGCTAAGCACAGCAGGAAGGAGACTGGTGAAACTTGGAGTCACTCACTTAGGTTTCTCTTATCCCTTGGATCCTAGGTTCTCTATCTCATCTCAGATAATGGATTCTTGATCATCCTGTTTACACCATAGTCAGATTTCAAAATGTGTAAAAACAGCATATGTAATTTTTTTCCAATTTGCCACAGTAGGTCTTATTACTGCTCTAAGTGGGCTGGTTGGTGACTACTGGAGACATAATGGAAGAGGTGATATAGAAGTAATTAGCCCTGACATTCTGAATTCCAATGAGAAAACACAAAGGGCATGGTTGCTGATCTCCAGATGTTAACATTCCCCAAATTTCTTGTTGACTGTGATTTTGTGTGTGTGTGTACGTCCTGGGAATGTTGCCCATTATCATGAAATGTTACTCTCCAAAGATAAAAATTGGTTTGTAGAATGTTTAGCAAGAAATTCATCATTTACTTCATTCTAGGAGAAAGTGAGCCTTGGAGGCTAGATCTCTTGCCCAAGACTGCGCTAACAGTCAAGCAAAGTATTTGAGACACCCATCCTCTCAGCATTCCACCTGTTCCAAACTCATTATAATACACTGTCAAGCTCAATGTCATTTGTTACTCATCCTTTCAGGTTTGTCTCCACAACTTGGTGTTAGTACAGACTTATCTTTTTATGTTTTTAATTTTGTTTCAATTTTCCTTTGCTTTAAAGGTTTTCCCACTGTTTCCCACAGCTGCAAACACATAGCTTCTGTATTTTCTGATGGTCTTCTTGGTCATATTGCTTTAAAACTATAGCTTTCATAACTGCTGCTGCTTCTTGTACTGATATTAAAGTGACACTGATGATGGAAAGTCAGGTTTTAGGGCTTCTTTTCTGCAGACCTGATGATAGCTACCCTAGTCCAGTTACAGGTTTTTGTGACCTCCCAAACTAAGGTTGTGTCATGGAGATTTAATTTCATTCTCAGATTGCTTTTAGAAGTCTACTTTCTGCATTAAATTCTTCCATACCAGCTTGTTTCTTCTTAGCTTGATTTCTGCTCAGGTTACTTTATTGAAAATGCTTATTTCAAGGTGACTAATGACCCCACTAATCAACAAATCTGCTGAATTTTTCTTGTCCATAATTTCTTTTTGGGGGATGGTTGATCTTAGGGCCTTACACTTGCTGGGCAGGTGTTCTGTTATTCGACCCAACCCAAGCTCAGGTCCCTTTTACTTTAGTTATTTTGTGATAGGGTCTCAAGTTTATGCCTGGGTTGAGATTCCTTATTTATGCTTTCTGTGTAGCTGGGATGACAATTGTGTATTATTATACCTGGCTATTAGTTGAGATAGGGTCTCAACTGACTTTTTGCCTCAGCTGGCCTGGAAATGATCCTCCTGATCTCTCTAGTAGCTAGGATTTCATGTGTGAATCACTGTGCCCAGCCTTTATTCATGTTGTTAACTGTCCAACTCCGCATCCTCATGGAAGCTTTCTTTTGACATTACCAACATTATGTTGGTGTTGTTTTGTGCTTTGTTTTCTACTGGTCTTTGCTTGCCTTCCTTGCATTTCTCTGGCCTGTGTAATAAGTGGCCCCAGTGTCTCAGGCATCCCTCTCCTTTCTTCTCATCCTCAGTGGCCTTGATGATTCTCTATGGCCCTTCATTCTTCTGAGCTATAGCTGTACACGTAACATCTCTCTGCTAAACCTCTACTTGAATGTCCCACTTTCCTTTCACACTCAGAATACCTACATTTTGACCCATCATTTTTGTTGCTAGGATCCCCAGTCACACGACTCCATCCACTTCCAAATTTCCATCAAAGGTACTCTCAGTCTCATATAGAGTGAGGTTATTTGATTTCCACTTTTCGTTCAACTCAGTCATTCAAAGTTCTTCCTTCATAATTATGTCCTGCCTGTTCCTACCTTGTACCCACATTATCCCAGTGTAGGTGTTTTCTGCATCAGGTCTGTATTATTGGTGGGTGTGAATTGGATCTTTCTATCACTCCAGTGTTTTTTACCCTCCAGTTCCCTCTGTAGACTACAGCCTGATAAACCTTTCCAGAATGTTACTTTGCACCCATCAACTTAGCCCTTGAGCTCTCGGTAGATGGTGTGATAGTGACAAACCGAGTCCCTTCAAACTTCTTCGTACCTTCAGAATAATGTACAGACTATATATTGCCACACAAATTTGTATGCAGTCTAGCAATGGACTTTATTCACCCTTCCTCCTCAAATGTCTCCACTTTGCCTGTACTGAGAAGCCAATACCAGAGACACACCAGAGTATTTACCTTCCACTCATAACTTATATACTTTCCCACTTTTATTTTTTCTTCATATCATTTGTATTAGTCACCTTTCTATTACTATAACAAACACTTGAGGTATTTCTTTTATAAAAAAGAAAGGTTTATTTTGGTTCATGGTTTCAGAGGTTCTAGTCCATGATCAGTTGGCCTCATTGCTTTTAGGCCTATAGCAGGGCAGCACACCAGGGCAGAAGTGTGTGGCAAAAACAAATCTGCTCATCTCATGGTGAGGAAGCAAAAAAAAGAGAAAGAGAGAACAGGGTCCCACAGTTCCTTTGAGGGCACACCCACAGAGAACTAAAACATCCTAATAGGCCCCCCCTCTGAAAATTTCTGCCACCTCCCAGTAATACCAGGCTGGAGACCAAGCCTTCAACACGTGAACGTTTGGGAGACATTACAGATGAAAACAATGTCAGGGTTTATCCGTCTAGAATATAGCTGTCCCCTCATTTCTACTTTTCTTAGTTATTTTTCGAAGTCCAGGTCAGGTCACCAACCTTTCCAAAAGTCTTGTAAATAAACTTAGCCCTAAATAAACATACTTGTCTCTGTAAAGATCTATAGCTAAACTGACTACAAATTATCATCCAAACCAGGGCATTTTTGAGAGTGAAAGATGTGTTGTCATTAATAAGACCAGAGCAATAGGGATCTGCCAGGCCTATCCTGGAGAAACTGTAGCAAATGTTACCCTGTAATATCCTGTTTTGTTTATCCTTCCTGTTAGCTCTTGGCGTTTACTACCTTGTATTGTTATCAGCACCTTTATAGTTGTGTCGATCCCCTGGTCTAGACTCTAGGTAGGTACATTTTACCTGTTATACTTCCTTATATCCCAAGAACCTAACATTTTGCCGTATGTTTAGTAGAATGTAAGTAGTGTTTGTTAATTAGAATGCTTGTAGAAATCATTATTTAACAATTTTGCCTTCATTTAAGAGATGATTTTGTAAGAGAAATATAATGTTTGGTTTTTCTCTCTAATTTAGTTGATTGACATGTGCATGCAGAACTGTGGTCCAAGTTTCCAATCTCTGATTGTGAAGAAGGAATTCGTTAAAGAAAGTCTAGTTAAGCTGCTGAATCCCAGATACACCTTGCCATTAGATGTTCAGAATAGAATCTTGAAATTCATTAAGGTAAGCCTTTTATATAACTCATGGGATGGTACATTTCTAAGATTAAGGGTTTAATGGAGTGCTTTCTGATGTGGAGATTGAACCGAGGGCCTGGCACATGCTAGGTTCAGTGACCCTTTGTATACTTCGATTGAAACAGAAAGCATTCTTTTTCAGTGTGAGTGGAATAATACATTTCTTTTTGGTGTTGGATAATACCCTTTTTCTGAAGAGGTTTTAGTCATTTCTCTTCTATTTCTATTTTATCCATATCAGGTAGGAAAGATACTGATGTGTATGTCTGTTTTGTAGCTATAGAAACTATGTTCTGAAATAGATAACTGACTAGTTCAAGGTTACTTGGCAGAAGAGCTACTGATAATATTTTAGTATCTGTCTGTCTGTTTTGGATGAAGTACACCAACAGACCATTGGTAATGTCTATCCATGGATTTATCAAGGTATTGAAGCATAATAATCTGGTGACTGAAAATATTTCATATTACTTGAGCTTTTGAAAATGAACGTTTTGATCATGGCATTCAAAAGTAGCTTTCTGTTTCTAAGGTACGTAATTACTAATTCCTCATTCTCATCACAAGCTGTTTTGTTTTGCTGCTGTTTTAATTCTGGAACTTTCTATCTCTTGAACTCAGACTTGGTCACAGGGCTTTCCAGGAGGAGTGGATGTAACTGAAGTGAAAGAAGTATACCTCGACTTGCTTAAGAAAGGTGTTCAGTTTCCTCCCTCAGATGCAGAGGCTGAAACAGCAAGGCAGGAGGTAGGAGGCTTTTCTTTGGTCCTTGTAAATAAGATAATGTGCCACTTGGGTCTTTTCTGATTGTAAGGGACAGCGCTAGCTTGAGCAGCTTAGCAGAAAGATGAATTTATCTCATAGAGTAACCCAGGTTTAGAACTTGTCTACTCAAAGTGTGATTTGGGTTATAATCTAGAAGTTTGTTAGATATGCTCTGCCCTAGAGTAAGTCAGAGTTTGCCTTTTTATAAGGTTTCCAAGTATTTTCCTGCACATTAATGTTGAGAAGCACTGCTTTAGAGCCCCATGCTTAGGGCTGTCCACCTGAGGTTGACCCAGGGAGCAGGAGATGCTTTGCCAGCTGTGGTTTACAAAAGACTTCACATGAATTGATTTACCATTTAACAACCCACAGAGGGGACAATAAAAATCTCACATAGTGGTTTATCATGCAGACCCTTGGCAAAAACCAAGAGTACTTTGTGAAATTATAACTTAGTTAATAAATCTAATAGCAGCCACATTTTATTGGATACCTGATCTGTTATGGTCCATGTCATTTGCTCTTCTCAAAATGCTAGGTCAGTGTACCCCTGATGGTTGACTCTGGGATGACATCCTTTACCCAGGACTTTGATTTAGAGTGCCTGAGTTAGCCAATGGGGAGGACTGGGCTTGAGTTCTCTGTGTTAATTTTTATCATAAAATTTCCATATTTCATATTGATAGGCTGCCCCAAGCTCATCACATCCACCAACATCTGTCCCTACTGCACCTGCTCTCCCTTCTGTAATTGCTGCCAAGAATCCGACTATTTCATTGGTCCCAGAACAGGTAACAGTAATGACAACTATATTGATACTATTTTTTTATTTCTAAGCATTGTATATACAATTTGTTTTTCTTTCTTAACATTATGAAGTATAAGCATATTATCACCCTCATTTTAAAGTGAGGAAGACTGTAGCTTGCTGTAGAAGAACCACTTACTGTGGTTCATTTCTTTTTTTTTTTTTTTTTTTGGTGGTACTGGGTTTTGAACTTAGGGCTTCATGTTTGCTAGACAGGTACTCTACCACTTGAACCACCCACCAGTCCTTTTTTGTGTTGAGTATTTTGAGATAGGGCTTTGCAAACTATTTTGCCTGGGCTGGCCTCAAACCACAATCCTCCTGATCACTGCCTCCCAAGTAGCTAGGATTATAGGCATGAGTCACCAGAGCCTGGCCATCATTCATTTCTAAGAAAAATTAATCCAGTGAGTTCTGTCTAAGTTCAAAGTTCACACATAAAAGTACTGTACTTGGCTAGTGGGTTTTAGGGCTTTGAGGAGCCTTGGCTGTGAACTGACCTTGTGTCCACAGCTGATTCCTTTTGCTACTGATAGGACTGTTCATACATCATTTCAGAGAGCTTGATAAGTGACCATCTTACTGCTGTATTAATTGCGCTAAATGGATTGTGTTTGCTTTGTTGTCTGTTTATCACTTTGAAGTTCAGTTATGTCCTGCTATAATAGAATTATCACTGAAGACTTTTTGTTAATATTACTCCATGTTTCTTATATAAAAATCCATGTTCTTAAATCCCTCCTAGAATTTAATACAGAAAGAAAAAAAAAGTGTTTCTCTTTTTATCTTCCCTCCTGTAATATTATGAAGAACTCAAATTCTCATGTGTTTTTTGTCCTTTTTCCAATTGGTATTAAGAAACCCAGAATACATTTGCCATTTTGTCTAGGTTCCTAGTTCTTTCTTCTAGTAGGTACCTTCTCCCCTTTCCATATTGGTTCAAATATTTTTTTTCTTCTTCATTTTTAACTTTCCTAAAGCATATTTTTGGGTTTACTATAAGAATCTCAAGTTCATTTAGAAGGCAACAGAGTATACTTTGTATGTATATGTATATATAAACTAAAATATGCTTAAATTTCACAAACCATTTTCTCTTCCAGCATTATTTCCTTGAGTAGGAAACAAGATAGCCATTCTTTATATATCACACTAACCGATTGGTTTTCTTACTCCCTACAGATTGGAAAATTGCACAGTGAATTGGATATGGTGAAAATGAATGTGAAAGTGATGACTGCCATATTGATGGAGAACACTCCTGGATCTGAAAACCATGAAGACATAGAGCTTCTGCAGGTGTGGTATGATCTCAGGAACCATTAGTCAAAGTGTGTCATAAAGTTATTCTCTAAACCTTGACCCTAGTAAGTAGAAGACATATTGATATTGTCTAGTCTGTTCTTGTGCATCTTGACTTCATTTAATTTCTAAACTTAAAAAGATCTAAGAACAACTTTTATCAGAAGTGCTCTAGTAACTTATATATCATCCCTACCCCCTTACAAAAGATAATTTATAACAATTTATAGCCTTGGTCATATACAGTCTAGTCTCTCATTGTTTTAAGTGTGTAAAAATTACCTCTATATCCATCTATTCAACAAACATATTGAGTGATGTAGTAAGGAATAGAAATGAAGAGGCTCTTCCCAGTCCTTAAGAAATTCTGTCTAGTAGGAAAGATTGGTTTGTAAATAACAGTAAAGTATTATAAGTGCCGTAATACAAAACTTGTCAGTTTATGTGGGGACAAGGAAAAATGTGGAAGATTTTAAGAAAGCTAGGTGGATATAGGTGGAAAGATACGGGAGGAAAAGTGGACAGGGCATTTGAATCCACAAGAACATGTGAGAAAAACCATGAGCAGCTGGATGGCCCCCCAAAACCCATCTTTATATTCATATATTTTACTCTTCCTTCTAGTGGGTAAAAGTTTCCTTGTTCTTCTAATTATCAATTTTTAAAATTAATATAGTTCCTTGGCAGGGTTAACAAGAGGATTACTTGAGCCCAAGAGAAGAGACCCCCATCTCAGAATAAAACAAAAGAATAAAATACACATTTCTGCTTAATCTTTATAAATTTTAGAAGCAGTTAGAAAAAATGAGTTCCTAAGTCTTTCTTCTCAAATAAGGTAAGAACCTTACATTTTAATTTTTCTCAGATTCCCACTTCCCATTTCTCATGTTGGTGTTTTTTCTTAATTTCCTTAGATTGTTAGTAGATAACATTTTTCTTGCTCATTTGGAAAATTTTAAAAGTATAAAAATTTCCTCAACATTGCTTATATTATATTATTGTTGTGTCTTTGAATCATTTCTATTTTCCTTCTGAAGCTCATCCATCTACTACTAGTAGGAAACTTTGAGTGTTTGCATGTCCAAAATTGACTTCTTGCTACCATGTAAATGTTGATTAGCCTAGCTAGATAGAATGATAGGTAGAAAATTCTTTACCTTAAGTCTTTGGAAGATAATGCTCCATTGTTCTCTTGTGCCCGATGACGCTGTTGGGAAATATGAGGATTCTTTCTTTGTTCTTCTGTAGTGTTTGGCTTTTTTCTTGTTGCATTTAGTGATTTCTCCTTACAATTAGTATTCTTAAAAGTTTTTGAAAGTCAGTTGTACCATGTATGAGATTTGTGCATATGCAAATATTTGGCTCTTATTTCAGATACTCCCTGTTTCTTCCATTCTTTCTATTCTCTCCTTCCTCCCTCCCTTCCATTTTTGGCGGAACTGGGTTTTGAACTCAGAGCCTCAGGATTGCTAGGCAGGTGCTCTACCGCTTGAGCCATGCCTCTAGCCCTTTTTTCCATAGTATTTTTTGGGGAAGGTTTCCCATTTTTGCCTGGGTAGGCCTCGGGCCATTTTTCTCCTGATTTCTGTCTCCTGAGTAGCTGGGATTATAAAAATACTCTCTTCTTAGGGAATATTTTTTTCAGACGATGAGACTTCCAGTTGGACTCTCCTGTCAACTTTTCTTTTACACTTTTCAACTCTCATTTGTTTGTGCTATAGTTCTGGGAAAATTTCTCCATTTGATTTATTGTTTCTCTAAAACTTGTATATCAGGTTATCTATTCAGCCTTTCCAATAAATGATTTATTTCAAAACTTTTATTTTTTGCTTAAAAATAAATTTGGATTTTTATAATTCTTTAGTTTTATTTTTCTAAGGATAGTAATCGTTTTTAAGGTTGCTTTTCTATTTTCTCTATGGATGTTTCTTTGCGATTTTTTTTGCCTGTTTTATTTGGTTCCTCAAATGAATCCTCTGGCTAGATCGCTGGGTGAGCTCATTTTTGTGTGCACTTCTTTGCCAGCTGGTCTGCCTTGTCTGCTGACCCAGCTCTTCCATGCAGAGGCCAGGATGTAATTGGGGCAGCTTGTGGTTGGTTCCGTTTTCAGCATGGGATGTTGCTGAGTGGAATATGTGCATAACTGGTCTTCTGGGTTATAAGCTTCCTATTTTTTTTCCTGCATACCATCAGCAATAACAAATAATGCTCTCTCTGTCCCAACCATTATCCCTACCTAGAAACACTACTCCAGTCTCAGTTTGTCCCAGTCTCCTAGTGTGGAACATCCTGCATCTGTGCTATGTGGCAGTATTCATTGTGAATAATCTTGAGTGTCCTTGATTGTTTTTCTCTAACTCAGAAGTCACAAAACTGTCCTCTGGACCACATCCAGGCCTTTCTCTCTGTGCTGTCTGTGGGCTCAGAGGGTTATGTAAAGGGTTGATTTTAAGTGTCATTAAAAAATTTTTTTAAAGCTAAATAAACAAATAAAACCTAAAGGTTATTTCTCAAGCTATATCAATACAAGCCCATACCCAGAGAGCACTAGGATCTCACATATATCTTTCAAGAAGTTATTTGTCATTCCCCACTCCACTCTCAATAGATGTAACTTTGTGGTGTCTCTCAGTGTGGAGGGATAAGAAGAGGATGCAAACTCACAACTTGGGAGCATGAACTTCCAGGTGAGGCAAAATCTGAGCTGCATAGGTTAGTGGGAACCTTCATGTCATACCAAAAAAAAAAAAGTGGCCAAAGGGAGCTGCCAAAATGTGTTGCAGGAGGGAGACATCAAGAACATAGATGAGCCAGTTGGGTGTGTGGTACATGCATGTAATGGAAGCATTTGGAAGACGGATGCAGAAGAATCACAAATTTGAAGCCAGCCTGGGCTACAGAGCAAGGCTCTGTCTCACAAAAACCAAACCAAACCAAAATAAAATAACAACAATAAAACCACATATATACTGAGGAGCTACCTAATGAGACCAGATTTTAGAAAGATTCTTCTGGAGGCATTGAGTTGGGGAAGCAAGATCAGTTTCTAGCAAATGACTTAAGAATGCATTTGTCTTTGGCCCTATGCTGTGTTATATGAGTGAAACATGGTACCCGTGGTCGAATAAGTTTGCAAAACCAATTGGCTACTATATTTATTGTCTTGGAGGTTTGTAAATTTCATTGTTAATGGTAAGGCTCTAAGAGTCTTTGTCTGGCTCCACATTTATAAACTTATTTAACAAAAAAAATCCCTATTTGTTAAATGTTTGTTAATATTCTATAGAACATGAGAATAATACATCTTGAGAAATAATAATATTTTTGATCATTGGTTTTAAATATGTTATGTTTAGAATACTTTACTTAATGGTACACATTTTACTAAATGATAGATTCTAATGTGTCATTTTTCTAAACATTCTTGTCCTTGGGCAAGTTATTTACCATCAATACATTTAGTTTTTATATGTATAAAATCAAGAGCTTAGATGATATTTAGTAGACAAAAGTAAGAGTAACATTAGTAATATTAAACATATCCTACTAATATAAAAGATTAAAAGGAAAATTAAATACTAAATAGAGTTCACATATGGTAATCCTTTTAAAAAAATCCATAACTGGAGTCCTTAACAGATAGAAACTTTGTAACTTATGATGCTAACCAGTGTGTTCAGCTAAAAATTAACCATGAATGTACAAGGGTATATGGCAGATAAAGTTTTCAAAAATGGCCATGACAGTATTTCTAGTTTCACATGGTCTTCACAGACCATTCAGAACTCTGAAATAAAATGACTTATGCCTTTTCTCTCAGATTCTTATCCATCTGAGGAAAGTAGTCCTTCAGTAAAAATGTACACTGAAACATTCCTTTTAAATATGTGAGTCCATTTTATGCTTTATTCCATCAAGACTGAAATGCCTTTTTGTCTCAGAGTCTTGGGGTACAGGTGTTTGGTTGAATTTTGCAAGTATGATGCTAATTTGTTGGTTGCTGTTTTAGTGCCAGAACTCAGAACTTGCATATTGCATGGAATAGTAAAGAGACTTCGATTATAAATCAACATTAGAGTATTGCTCGTGGCCAATTCATGTTGACTGGGTTCTGGCATTGGATCAACTTGTGTACAGAGACTATTAAACTGTGTAACTTGGTTTTTCTTCCTGTGTTTTCTGTTAGTGTCACATAAAGATCTGGTGTGGGGAATGCTATTCTTAATTTCTTTTGACAAATATTTGCATTTCTTTAAATAATTCTACTATGGTTGATCTGAGATACTGTGATAAAGTCTGTGGAGAGAAAGGACAAGGAGCCCATCTACTTAAGAGAAAGTAGCAAAACCAGACTGTGGAGAAGCAAAATGATTCTTTAGTTTGTACTTTTTCAAAGGTTTTCTTACACTTCTTTGAACTAATGGGATCAGTAGCAATAGAACCTCCGGGTGATATGGCAGCCCCATGGCTGGCTGCCCTCACAGAACCGCAGGGGCTTCTGGAGACTTCAACATGAGCCTAGGTGGTCATCAGAAGAGGTGGACAGCAGATGGGAGGATGAACCCAAAGGAAGAAATAATATGAAGAATCAGCAATGCTGTTAATAGAAGGAGTAGACAGATTTCATATCCATATCTTGTTCTCCTCCCTTCCTCTTGTTTCCTGCCAGCATGCCCTGTTAGCTGAACATTATCAGAAACCAGAGAGTGGGGGACCTGTCAATGTGGTCTCTGTAAGCCAGCTGCCTGGGCAGAATAGGGCACAGTGGTTCTGGAGGACAAAAGCCAAGTGGCTATTTGGCCCTTCCTGCACATGAGCACAGTCTTTTCACACCATTTCCCAGCATTAAAACCAGCATTGTGTTCTTGGGAACACTTCCTGTTTTATCTGTGTGCTTAACTTCTACTAGCTGTTCCTGTGTATTTAGAACCTTATTCCCTATCTGTCCTTCCATCTGAAATCTAATGTATTTATTTGGAATCCCCTCTGTGTTCTTCCAGTCCATTTTGAACCATGTGATCTTGAAACCCTACTGAGTCACAGGGTTCCTGCCCTTTGTAAGATTCTTGGACAGTAAAATCATTTTTTGCTGTAGACACCTTTCCTTACCACGTATTGCTGTGGACTTTCAACTTTACTGGGTGGGGACAGAGTTTCTTATGCCAGAATGGAGTGTGAGAATTCTGAGACTGCAGCCAGCCTAATGACTATGGTGATGAATTAAAGATGTCTGCTCTGGCCATGCATGGGAAGGAAGAATTGTAATGCTTATTTCCTATATTAGCTTTCTTCCCATTGTGCATTAGATCTTGGGTACCTTCCTCTTATTTTGTGGAGCTGACTTTCTCTGGTACTCTCCCCTTTGGTCGTTCTTTTCTTATGTTTTGGCTAACCCCAGTAGGACAACAAAAGAAGAGGATGTTTCAGTCTTCTGTGGAATAAAAGGGGCTAAGATTTTGAAAGTACAAGTAGAGAAGCATTATCCTAGCTTAGTAGAGAAATGTAAAATCATGGGAATCTAAAGGTGAATTTATAAACCAACTGAGAGAAAAGCCTGAGAGTAAAAAAGAAGAAAAGGAAAGGAAAAGAAAGCCATTTCCCCCCCAGCCACTCTTATTGTCATTACTATTTTGGAATTTGACTAAGAGTAGTAGGGACTTTAAATGTAATGGAGTCCATCATCCTTCCTTTACAGATGAAGCTGTGTATTCAGAAAGAGTAAGTGATGGGAGCTGGAGTGAGAATGTGGCTCTTCAGAGCCTGTGTTCTCTCCATAGTATGATCATTTCTCATTGTGAACCCAGGACTGACTTTCAAATAGATGGCTAACCTGTTGTCTTCCTGTGATTATGAATCAGCTTGAGCTAGTTTGGAAGCAACATGAAGGCAGTAACCAAGACCTGTTCTTTTAAATCTATCGCAGTACATCGTACAATTGTGTTTATTTACAGTACATGCTTGAGTGTACTGTATGAGTACAGAACATCATTGAGTGTACTCAATGAGTACAGAACATCATTGAGTTGAGTAGATCAATGTTCTTCAGTTAATGACTTATGACAAAGGAAGTTACTAAGGATAGAAGGACTTACTGAAAACAAAGGCATTTGGGAAATGTTGATAATACTCAGTGGGGAAAAAAGTCAGTTCTAATAAGTCAGTGATCTTCAGGACAATATGTTGACAATTTGTCATTCAGCTGAGGTGTGTATATGGAAAGAGAGACTATAGGTAAGTTAAGCTTAGAAATGTTTAGGGTTAGCATGGCTTGGAGGTGTTATTTTGAGCAGCTAGAGACATTATCTAAGTCTCTTGCAAGCTGGCTGGGGACTATTGGGAGAAAGGAAGTATGTTATGGGCTGATAATACAGATATTGTCATTCAGATATAATTTCCAGAGAAGCTTTTGTGTAAACACATTATTTCCTATATTTACTTTTTAAAGAGACATTTTTCGTTTTGTTTTTAGTGTGTTGCTCTGTGTTGGTGAACATACAGTAACTGTAGTTGGTGCTGAAAGTGAAGGGGGATCCCTTCTTAAGTGCTGTCCTTTCTGAGTGCTTTGTGGAGGCATGGGAGCCATCTGGATGTTGAACAAGGAAGCTCTTAATGGGCTCCAAAGCCTTTTGAATTAATTGTTAATTTCACTTTAACTTCAAAGCCTGCCTTTACAATAATGAAGGCAATTCCAGGGACTCTGTGATGACACATGCACTAAACGCTTTCCCTCTGTTTTGACTTACTCTTCCCATTCTACGCATCCACAGCCCAAGAAGGGCCTGCTGTGAAGAACTCTGACCCATCCCTTTTGTCCGTGGTGATTGATCTACCCTGTTTCCAGGTGGCGTGCCCCTCCTCTGAGACAGACATCAATTGCAAAGATCAGAGTGGGCTGGGCTTTTGAAGAGGTTTTTCACATTTTGGTTTGCCAGCCTGCTGAGAGATGCAGTGTTCCTTTTAAGTTTCTTTTCCATCTCTCTCTCGGAAGGGCAAAGGGAGGGTCTTCATGTGATGGGGGCTATTGATGTTGGCTGCAAATTCATTTCAAAATAATTTCTACATTTTTGTCACAGGCATCTAATGCTCATTGTATTTCCTTGATCTTGACCTTATTCTGGCAATGTTGCCCGCGAAGTAACAAGAGGAAACATTTCTGTACAGTTTAAAGCAAGAACAAAGGAGAGTTATATTTGATGGTGGGTGAGGGGGATACTAGAGGGGGCTGGTTCTTTCCTTTGAATGATATTGGGTCCTGGGTAATAGTATAAGTATTATAGGATTATATTAAATTATCTAGAGAAGCTTCTAGTGACCCTTCCTTAAGCAAGGAAGGATCTACCCACTAGACATTGTGGGGTGTCCAATACACCATTTCCTATTCTTACAACAACCCAGCAAGATAGTGGTTATTGTTGTATTATAAGTGGAAGGAATAAAAACCAAGCCTAAGGTTAAATTTTAGCCTTATTTCCCTAAATCCCTTATCAAGTATGTATGTTGGAGATGCCTTTGGTCTACTGAGTCCAAAGTCTTCCCTCTTTGCATTTAGCCTGCCATCTGCCTTTATTTTATTAGCACTTGATCACACACATTTGTTTACTTATTTTCTAGGTTGTTTTCATACTGTAATGCAGAGTTGAGTAGTTATAATAGAGACTAGTCTACAAAGCAGAGAAGAAATAATTTAACTTTTGGAGCTTTAAGAAAAACTTTGACCCTTGCACTGCAATTGGTGATAGTGACTGTCATTAGTAACAGGACAGTTTTTCTAGTTTATTACAGGTATTAAAAACCCCATTCTATCATCTCTCTGACTGCCTCATTTTTTTTTTCCTTTTTATTTCATTTTGTCTTCTAAATATTTTTATGGTTTTGTGGAAGTAGTGGCTTTTACCTCAGAGTTTAAATGCCAGTTAGTAATAGTTTGATTTATTTATTTAGAGATTTCCTGTCAGGAGTCTTATAATGGATTGTTTGAGATTCTAAATGGTTTCATGAAGCATAAATTTTTCAGTGAGCCTTTCTTGAGGGGAAAATGTCAGCTAATGTAATTGTGTGATGTGTAAGCAAGCTGTGTTTCTTTCACAGTGAGAGAAGAAACGGCCCTGTGTTTTTGTGTGTTTTGTTAGTGTGCTGTTACATGACAGATTCTAGCCAAGATGAGATGGAGAAGATATTAATATCAGTTGGCTGCATCTCAGATTTATTGAGGTTTGTCTAGAAGGAAGTCACTTGTAAGGCAGCACTTTTCAAATGTCAGTATACACAGACAGACTTTGGGGTGCATGTTAAAAAAAATTGCAGGTTCCCTGACACTCAGTCCTGGAGATTCTGTATTAGTAAGTGTGCTTATAAGAAAAAGCTGGTTTGAGTGGTGGTGTCATGGCTCAGTGCACTGATTCCAAGTAGTTCAGATAAGGTCATTAACCATAATGATTTTTTAAATCTTAGTTCAGCTTACATTGGAATGTGATGTAACCATAAACTTTAAATGTCTGAGCATAACATAAAGGGAAACAAAATTACGCTGCTTTAAATGTTTTTAACCACTTCTACCATCACTAATAATGACAATAACATTTTATGTTTATGCTTTACAGTTATAGAATTCCTCATTACCCACATCTCATTTGATTTTTATGTCAACCTGAGGTAGATGTGCTGTTTTTCATTGATGAATGAGAAAACTGAAATTTAGAAAACAAGTGATTTTTTTCCAGCATAGCCTACCTAATAAGCAGCGTATCTAGCATTTCCAGAATTACTTACAATTTCTAGTCCTGGATTACTTCCAATGTCCACATTGTCCTTATGACACTTATTCTGGTTTTCAAAGAAACACATACAGTAGCCCTTCGGTATCTGGGTGTGTATGGTTCCAAGGAGATGGCCATTGAGGAAAATCCACACATGTTCAGGATGCAGAGATCGGTACTGAAGTACAGATGCTTGATTCGCTTTTCCCCACAATGCCACCCAACTTCTGCTCAATACATGCCACCTTTCAGCAATCCATGAAAAAGGAGGGCTTACTGTAATCATCGTATAATTCACTGCCTTCTGATAGGAAGGGTCAGTTGACCACAGTTGAATGCCTTGGTTGTTTCTCATAGGTGACATTGTGGAGGTGATCACAGGTATATGCATACTGGCAAGTTACTTGTCTTAACATGCAGGAATTACCCTCTCTCCTTTCTTTGACAGAAACTTTACAAGACGGGTCAGGAGATGCAGGAGAGGATCATGGACCTGCTTGTGGTAGTGGAAAACGAAGATGTAACTGTTGAGCTAATTCAAGTGAACGAGGATTTGAATAATGCCATCCTTGGATATGAGAGGTAAGCGGAGAGTGTGCTGTTTGATCCTCTTCACATTCTTGTTTCACCACCATTCATTCAGCATTCCTGTTAGAGTGTCTACAAGGAAGCATTCTTTCTAGATCCTGTTCTCTCAGTATGCATGGCATCTTGGATGGGATGGCTTTCCTTTTCTCTTGTGTGGCCGCTCCTCACTATATGCCAATTGTGTTCCTCCTAGTTGAAGTGACTTGCTAGACACTCTTACAGGCACTATTCCTGTCGAGAATTATTAGGAGGTTTAACATTGCAGTGACTAGATTTCTAGCCAGTGGATGAAGAATGAAACCAGTCTGACACAAGAAAAAGTAAACAAGACTGGATTGGAATCTAGCTGATGCTTTCAGATAAGTTAGTGTGCAGTTACATGACAGATTCTAACCAAGATGGGATAGAGTGGATATTAATAACAGGTGGGTACACCTCAGGTTTTTAAGATGTTATCTTTGGAGGGGTTAATTTTTTAAAGGATTAAATGAGATAATGTATGTAAAAATACCTAAAAAAGTATTAGCATATTAACACCTACTAAATATTAATTTTTGTCCTTCCCATTAGTGCTGTCTGAGCCTTTAAAAATGACTAGTTTTTTTTTCTCCCACTGATAATGAATGTACCAAAAGAACCAATAAAATAAAACCAGCAGCTATGAAATGATAGCTTCTTTCCGTCACTATCTCACATTGACTGCCACTCAGAGACAGCACTGTTTGTAAGAAAAGATGATAGGGAGGTGACTAATGGTGTGAACCCAGTAACCATGCTCTCTTTCTTAGCACTGAGCAAACTGAGAATCCTTACCCTTTGTTTTCTGTGGTATAAATCTTTAAAAACAGAAAATTATCCAAGGACAACCACATGTTTTTCAGTACAGTACTGCCTTCTGGTTTTCATTTGGAAGAATTGTCAGACTCATCTGAAGGACTCCTCTGAGGGAGAATGCTTATTTGTTCTACATATCAGGAAACTGGAATACTTCTTTGACCTTGTTCTAGGTCAGCTTTGAACCATGTGTGCCAAAGTGATAATGGTAAATTGTATGATAGAAACACTTGAGATTCAGAGAGAAATTCTTGCCTCTAGAAAAGATACAAATCTGGTGTATTTTCTGTGGCTGTTGTAACAAAAGTAGTAGCTGAAAAAACACAAATTAATTATCAAAAGATAACAAACTAAGTTCTATGGGTCAAGAGTTGCAAATGAGTGCTACTGGGCTAAATTTGAGGTGTCACAGAGGCTGCTTTTTCTTTTTGAAGACTCTTGAGGAGACTCCATCTCCTTAGGCTTTGCAACTTCTAGAGGCTGCCCACTTTCCTTGACTCAGAACTCCTTTCCTATATCTTCAAAGCTAATGCTTGGTTCAGAACATTTTATGTATTATTGCTCTTACTTCTTCTTCTACCTCCCTCTTCCATGTTTAAGGACTTTTATAACTAAAATAGACTCATCTATATTATCCAGGAAAATCTTCCAGTTAAGGTGAGTGCATTAGCAAACTTCATTCCATTTGCAACCTTCGGTACCCCCTGGCTGTTGAACCTACTCTAGTTCCTGGTTTTGTTAACTAGGGTGTGGATATCTTTGGATATCCATAAGGGAGCATTTTTCTGCCTTTTTTTAGTTTGTCCTCTGGTCCCTGAAGTTTCACCTCCATGCCACATACAAAATACATGGGCCTCTACACCCCACAAAGCATGTGTTTCAGAACAATCCTTAAACCTAAGTGCACATTCAGATGCCTGTAAGCTTTTAGACTCTCAAGTGTTTAGACTCTTGGAGTCAATGTGTCATAATGGTCATACTATGGGTTTCTAAAGCAACTTGCAGTTTGTAAGCCATTTCTACAGCTATCTGCCTACCTATATATCTATCTGTTTTTGTCCTTGAAAATAAATTTCTGAAGAAATGGTTAAATGTTGCTATTAGCATTTAGCAGATGGAGGACTGAGATCCAGGAAGTAATATCCATGGTCATGTAACTAGTAGGTAGTAATGAACTTGAACATAGAACCTTGGACTTCTGTCTTCAGCTTTACTTATCTTTCACATCTGTTCTCCAATTACTTAACTGCTTCTCCTCTACCCTCAGTGGATAACCAATATAAAATTAATAAGTCAAAGTTGTAAAAAGTCACTATTTTTTTTATAGATATTAAGGCAAGTATCATATGAAAACAAAGATAAATGGTGAAACACTGAAATTACTACAAATGTATTTGAATCTTTCTGAAAAATTATTTCTAATGACAAAATAAGAACAAATTAATAACTGAGAATAAGAAGGATTAAAGGTGTTCAGACAAATTCATAAGGTAAAATATGACTGCCATTAAAACCTGTAATTCTGAGTAACTAGAAGTATACTTACAATAGAATTGAATTATTATATAGAATTATGTAAAATATAATTTCAGTTAAGTTTATATATAGTCAGATGTGGTGGCGTATACTCATAATCCCATCCCTTGGGAGGCTGAGGCAGAAGGATTGTGAATTTGAGACCAGCCTGGGCTACATAGCAAAACCCTGTCAAAAAAAAAAAAAAAGATTCACTTAAGAAAAAATACTGGAAGAAACTACACACACTGCTAATAGGGTTCATTTCTGGGAAATGGGATTACTAAACTATTTTTAAAAAACACTTTTCTGTTTCTTCACATTTCTCTCTAAGGATATTAATACACTGTCAACTGGAAAACATTTAGTAATTTATTAAAAATATTTTACTGAGACCTGGTAGAGATGAGGTTCAGTGTTATCATTCCTAAATATTTATATTTATAATATAATTTGTATTTATAATAAATACAGATAACTATATTTGTATTTATTATTTGCTAATTTTAAATTCTGTAAGCATTTTCATACTTGTTTAAGTACTTACATTTTGCTGATTTACACAGGTTTACTCGAAACCAACAATGGCTTTTGGAACAAAGTAGGAACCAGCAGGAAGCCACCAACGTAAGTGATTAGGAACATCATAAAATAAACAATAGAATATTTTGCCTATCACACAATAAGAAACAAGGTGCACCTAAAACAGATCTTGAAAAACAGGAGACATGGATTGTTAATTTGATGTGGTTTTGGTGGTATAAAGTATTTGTCTTAAATGAGAAGTACCACATGAAGCAGGAACCCATGTAGATGGTATGCTGTAATTCATATTATTGTTGCCTCTTGAATGGAGAATTTTTCCTCAGAGTGCATCCAAATTGGATCTTTCTCTTTCCAAAGGAAAGTCTGTGAGGAGAAAGCCATGATAAATTACATGCCTCATTTTTCTTCCAAGTTCTATTTTTGTTTGCTTTGTTTTCAGACTGGCAGTGAGCCTTCTGCTCCATCTTGTGATCTTCTTGACCTGAGTCCCAGCCCTCGGATGCCTGTGGCCATTCAGGGAGAACTCAGCAACATGAATGCTCAGCTTTCTGACTTAAGTAAATAAGCAGTGGGGTCTTCTCACACCAGAAGAAGAGCTTGATGTGAAGTAGTTCTCCTTGGTTTCATGATTAAACTCCTGAGAAGAACTGAAGTCGGTTTGAGTATAAGAGAACTGTATGAGGAGATGTAATCACTTCCTGGCAAATGGTTGGGCCAAACCCAGTACAGGAATAGGATGTGTCTGGGGGAGGTCTTTGAAACTCACACTACTGGCTTAGAATCTCATGGAATTCACCTGGCTTACTTTGTAGAGGTTGTCCAGCTCCATAGCCAATACTTAAATCTCCTCTGAACCCCCACACTATTATTGTTGGGTTTTTCTGCTATACCACAGCACCAGGTAAGGGAATATTTGATACTGACAGAGTGGTGGTGAAATGTTGAAGAAAAAATATAGAGGGAGTAAGAGAGGTGCAAATTGTAATCCCAGTTCAAACTTTCTTTATACATTGAGAACATTGGTTTCCTTAAAGGGTTGCTGTGAAGGTACTGAAATGATGTTTATAAAATGCATTGTAGGTCTGAGTCTCACAAAAACAAAACAAAACAAAACAAAAAACCAAAAGATGCATTGTAGGTTTGCGGGTTTCTCTCTTACCTAGCTTTTTGGGTATCTTCTTCTATCCTTATTTCCAGTAAGTATTGGTAAATTACAAAATAAGCATGGTAAAAATATTGCTAAAATATAGTTGTACCGAACTATAATTTCTTTTTCTCTGATGTTTCCAGAGCAAAAACATTTAGTACTACTGAATTTGTGGTTTTCTTATAGCTTTCCTAATTTGTAGACCTATTTGCTTGTATGAGATGGTGAGATGTGTGGAATCAATTACTCTGTTGGATTTTCTTTGTTTCTTACCAGAAATTTTTAGCAGAGATAAATTAATTCCCTTTGGAGTGCCTCACTAAATATTATGGGAAGTTAAGAGTTTAGAGGTGAGGGGTAGAGCTCTATAGAAATCACGTCTGGCAGAACAAGACATGTAAAATCCTTTCCATTTTGGATCAGGTTGAAATTTTAGAAAACCCAACAAAATAGTATTTGTTCTCTTTACAACAGTCTTTTTATGTGGCAAGGAATGGCTCTTTCTGTCAGTCTTTTTTTTTTTTCTCCTCCCTATAAATGATGGTTTTTAATATATCAGAAAAATCTTATGATTTTATGGTGACAGAAATTACTAAATTAATCTCTTTAATTTTTTTCTCTTACTGTAGAAAACCTAGCATGACAGGTAATTGAAAAATGTATCAAAACCAAACAAGTTCATTTTGTATTCTAGGTTTCAGCTCTTCAAGTCCTGTTGTAACAAACAACTTGAATCCCAGTCTTTATCCACAGGTGGATTTGTTAGCCTTGGAAAACACAGAAATACCCCCGTAAGTATGTCAGTAACAGAGAACTAATATCATGACATTCTGATTCTTTATGCTAAGAAAACATGGTGGAATATTAAGGAGTAGAGACTTTAGAATCAGACAGACCTCAGTTATTATCTCAGCCCTGCTTCCTTTTAGCTATAAGACTTGAGATGAGATTCTTAGCCCTGCGAATCCTTATTTTCCTTTTCAGAATACTTTCTGAGAGTCTTAGAAAGATTCATGAGATACTATTTGTAAAACTCCTAATATGATACTTGTTATGTTACATAATAAGCCTTCAATAAAATTTCTGTTTCTGCATTTTTAGTGGTAACAGGAGATAGGGAGAAAATAGGGTAAATACAACAAGAGGAGGAAGAGAAATGAGGTTCAAAACCATTATGAGTGGTGACCACATCAATTTCATGAAATGCCTGGCACAGAGCAAGTGCTCACAATTTTTATTTCATATGCAAAAGCTCTATAACTTCTGTTCTATAGTCATTCCTTCTATTATTAAGAGAAGAGACTGAGACTTAGGGAATAGAACTTGCCAAAATCCACGTAATAAGTAGTAAGTCATCAGACAAGAAATTAATGACCCTTAAACATGTGAAATGATATTTAGCTCTAAAGAAATGTAAGTTAAACTCTAAGACATTTTGTTTTTACCTCTCAGATTGGCTGAAGTCCAAATGCTTGATAACAGATATTGTTGGCTATAAAATGACACTATCACAAAATTATGGGATCCCCCAATGATGAGGGTCAAGTGATAATAGCTATTAAAATTATAAATGCATTTACCTTTGAACCTGAAATTTTATTTCTAGGAATTTTTTCTACATTATTACATTATTGGGTATTTATAAGATTATTCTTTAATAAGAATTCTTTAATATTCTTTCCCATATTTTGGGAAATATTGAATAAATAGAAACAAGTATCCATTTGTTGGACTGGTTAAATAAAAAGCTATAGAATGTGTTACTGGTAGCTAAGGGAAAAAATAGTAGGCTCTCTCTGTGAGAGATAATCACCAATATATTTACTGTTAAGTGGGGGAAAAAGATGCAAAGTGGTGTGTGTGTATACTGTTTTGAATTTGTGTAAGAAAGTGGGAAAAAAACATAAATATTTTCATCTGTTTGCATAAAGATACAGGAAGGATGCAAAAGAAACCAAAAAAAGTGATGACTTAAGTTTAGGGAGAGACAGGAGTAAATAAGAGTGAAAAATAAACAGAAGGTGGATTTGTTTTATGAGAAAGCTGATATTCTGTTTTCGTATTTTAGATCATAGGCAATACACTTTGATGAATCAAATGTCAAACAATATAAAAAGCTGAATAAAGACATTTCTTGACTTCATCCCCACTTCATTGTCTCTCTCTTCCCCTGGTGGCATACTCTGTTCCCATTAGGTGATCATTTTCTTAGGTTCTTATTTATCTTTCCAAACTGTCTTTAGGTAAATATGAATGTGAATCTTTTTCTCTTCTAGTAAATAAAATGCAGACTACTGTTACACAATTCTGAACTTTGCTTTTGTCTTTCATATAACATTCTGGCAGTGTAACTATATGAGTGAACTTCAATATCTTTTAAAGATTGCCTAATGTTTTATTAAACACTTGTATACTCAATCACTGAATTGCTTTTCTATATTTCAAAAGAAGAAGACCATGGGGACAACAATGGGAAAGAAGAATTATACTGGAGATTTAAAAAAAAAAAAAGAGCAAGAAAAATAGATGAGACAAGAACAGAAAGGAAAGGTTCATGTGTTGGAAAATTATAGTGCCAATAGCTACCTTGTAGACCACTAAAACTTAGGATGGCTACTTTGGTCTTGACTACATGCAAAGCAAATAATTACTGGAATGCTGTACATAGATTTCTAGTGAAGTTGCTTTGGTAAAAACCATTTTCCTGTTATCCTGCTAAGCTTGTTGGGCAAGATGAGAAAGAATGAGTAATACAGAATTGCATCATGGCAAATGCTTCCATAAAACTCATTAAGAAACCAAATTCTAGCTAATAGATGTTTTTTTTAATCTGTAATCCACTAGATCTTACACTTCAGTATGCATAAAAATCACTTGGGTGACTGTTGAAAAGTCAAATTACTTGCCCGCAGAAATACTGGTTCCGTATCAGGAATCTTTGGTTCTAACAAGCATCCCAGGAGAATTAGCAATGGCCTCTACCCCAAGCTCCAGATATCAAAATAACTATGACAGTTCATGGAATTCACTAGAATGAAGGATAAACTGTGGTATCTGTAACACTTTTATTTTCTAGACTTTGTTTTTAAGCCCTTGTACTTATATATTTTTAAGTTTCCAAAAATAAAACACATAATTAGCCCAATTTTATATAGTGTCAGAAATTGAAGCCCTAAAATTGACTAGGCAATGTGTCTTGACTAGATCATATGCCTAAGATCAAATGTTAGGACAAAGTCACCATTAAAATGTCTTATAGTCTTGAAATTTGTCCACTCCTTTGTATTTACAGATTAACTTGCTTACCATCACAGAACAAGTGAGTAATGCAGTTATTTACAACAGAAAGAACCTTTGAGAAACAGTAATAATGTGAGGATGGTGTAAAGTCACAGAACATATTTATAGACCACTTTCTATCAGGCAACAGGCCTCACTTATATTACTTATGTTCGCAGTAAGAAGTGAAGTACCTCCATCGTTCTTACTTTGAGGAAAGTGAGAGGAAACCAAGGCAGGTGAAGCTTAACTTGCCAGTGGTTTGCCAGAGAGTTAGTTCTGGAACAGGATTCAAATGCAAACAGATCTGATTTCAGTACCTATTTTTTTTTTTTTTTGCACCTTAGTTAATTTCATTTTAAGAACTCCCATTTAGTTTCACCTTTAATTCATCTCTTTTTTTTTAAGTCGGATGTACAGCTCTATGAATTTAACATATAGATCATGTAGCCTTTATTACTGTCAGGATTCATATTAGTACTTCACCCTCTGATAAACTAACTCCCTTGTACTATTTATTTATAGTCACATCTTCCAGGACCAACCTTCAACTTCTAGCAACCACCCTTCTGTTCTCTGTCACTATAGTTGGTTTTCAAGAATGGAATCTAATAGAACTATACAATACATAGCTTTTCTAGAACAGACTGTAAAATTGACATTTGGTTCATGCATTTTGGAGCTCTGTCATTGAGTACAGATGCATTCAGGAATATTCTGTCTCCCTGGTGACCTACCCTGGTGACCTATCATCATGTAATGTCCCTCTTTGTCCCATAATTGTCTTTGCCTTAAGTTTACTTTGATATTAATATAACCACCCTAGCTTTCTTTTGATTAGTGTTTCCATGATATATCTTTTTCTCTTTTCACTTAACTATGTCAAAATATGTATAGTTTCTTGTAGGTAGGACATTGGATCATGCAATTTTATGTGTTCTCATAATTCTTGTCTTGTAATTGATGTGTTTAGACCATTTAAATCTAATGTAATTGCATATATCTCTTCCCTTTTTTTGTTTCCTCTTTTTGTGCTTGCTTTCTGATTATTAGAATGGTTTTAGAATTCCATTTTAATTTATCTAATGTAATTTTTTACTATCTTTGTATGGCATATATATATGTGTGTTTGTGTGTTTGTATTTGTTGAGGGGGGAATTGCTTTAGTGATTGAAATCTGCTTAATTTTTCAGTCTACTAAATCAGTATTTAATCATTTGAAGTGAAATGTAGAAACATTATCATCATATAGATCCTCTTCTGTATTAGTTATATATGCATTGAAATACATACATAGGGTTATATTGTAATTGTTGTTTGCAACCTTCAAATACATTTTAAAGCACTCAAGAGAGAATAATCTATTATAGTTACCATTTCTGGCATAATTTACCTTTTCTCTGAAGTTCTCTTAGCAATTCCTTAGAGCAGTTCTATGAACAACAAAGTCTCTTTCACTTCAAGTGAAAATGTCTTTATTTCATCTTTGTTCCTGAAGGGTAGTTACACTGAACATAGAATTCTAGATTTATAGTTGTTTTCTTTTTGCAGCTTTGAAAGGTTGTTTCATTCTCTTCTGGCCAACATGTTTTGTTTTGTTTTTCTTTTGCAGTACCAGGGCTTGAACTCAGGGCCTACACCTTGAGCCACTCCACCAGCCCTTTTTGTGTTAGGTATTTTTGAGATAGGGTCTCACAAAGTATTTGCCCAGGCTGGCTTTGAACTGCAATCCTTCTGATGTCTGCCTCCTGAGTAGCTAGGATTATAGGTGTGAGCCACCAGTACCTGGCCCAACATGGCTTCTAATGAGAACTCTATGTTGATTTGATGGTTACTTCTCTATAGCTAATGTGTTGTGTTCTCTGGCTGCTTTAAATACTGTTTTCTTATTTTGAGCAGTTCGTGATATGTAGGCATGGTTTCTTTTGGTTTATTTGTTTGAGGTTGGCTGAGTATATGAGTTTCCTATGGCTGCCATTAACAAGTTACTACAAATTTGGTCGTTCAAAACCATAAATACTTATTGTGTCACAGTTCTGAAGGCATGAAATCTGAAATTCTGTCCTTCTAGGACTTTTCAGGGAGAATCTGTTCTCTGTCTTTTCCGGATTCTGGTGACGGCATTCTTTGGCTTTGTTGACCACATCTCTGCAATTTCTGCCTCTATCTTCACCTGGGCTTCTCCTTTGTGTGCCACAACTTTCTCTTTCTGTTCTTTTATAATCATTTGTCATTGGATTTATAGCCCAACCAGTATCCTTACCTTAAGATCCTTAATGACATATGCAGAGACCCTTTTTCCAAATAGGCAACACAGGTTCTGGGAATTCTGACTTGGATATATCTTTTTTTTTGAGGGGGGGGGTGGCATTTAATCTACTACAGAGAACTTCATGAATCTATCTTTACCAAACTTGTACAGTTTTTAGCCTTTATTTCTTCAAATTTTTTTTCAGCACTAATCACCATTGGTGTCCTGGTGGAACTTGATGAATCTATGGTTAGATCTGTGTCATTATTTTACAGATGTGTGAGATTATGTTAATTACCTTCATTCACTCTTTTTTTCTCTCTGTTGTTCAGCTGGATAATTTCTATGATCTATGTTCAAGTTTACTATTTCCTCTGTCATCTCCATTTTGCTGTTGAGCTTATTCTATAAGACTTTTTAAAATTTTAGTTATATTATTTTTCTTTTTTATTAGCATATTCAAGGGGGTTTCATTGTGATATTTCCCTACATACTTTTTTTATTTGAAAATTTCCATTTGGTTCTTTATGTTTTCTTGTTCTCTGCTGAGACTTTCCATTTTTCTTTTTTTCTAATGTTCTTAATTGCTTCTTAGAGCATTTGTATAACAGCTGCTTTAAAATTGCTCTGAGATAGGCTTGAGGATTGACTCAAGTGGTAGAGCCCCTGCCTAGCAAGCGTGAGACCTGGAGTTCAAATGCCAGTACACACACAAAAAAGTAAAATTTCTGTGAGATAATACCAACATCTGTGTCCTCCTGACATCCATTTCTATTGATCATCTTCCTAATGCAAGTTAAGTTTTTCTGGTTCTTCATATGCCTAGTAATTTTGTATTATATCTTGGTGTTTTTAATGTTTATTATAAGATTATAGATCTTAGTTAAAATCTTGTCAAGAATGTTGTTATTTTGATTTTAGTAGGCAAAAAACTTGATTACATTAATGTCACAATTTCTCTCTGATTCTGTGGGTTATGGTTCTGAAGTCAGCTAAGTTTTCAGTCCTTGCAGTGTTGTTCAAATCTGCCCAGTCTATGCATCATCCAGTGGCTTATCCAGGGTCTAGATTGCAGGTTAGGTGTTCAGTACTCAACATTTTTAGCATCCTGACTGAGATCAGATCCATGGTCATAACAGGTTAAGACCAGGATTTCATAAACAACTTTATGAGGTTTCTTTTTTCCTTCTGAATTCTTCTATCTTTGTGATTTCTCTGGTACTTTCTGGTTTCCTGGAGTTCCCTTCTCTGTTCTCCAGTCATGAAGTGAGAGCTGTGCTGTATCTGTGGCCAAACTGCCGAAATAAAGAAAGAAACAAACAACAGAGGTTCTCCCCAACCTCTTAGGATCATAGCCCTTCTAATTGGGAAGGAAGATTGCCCTCACTTAAGAGTTTTATCTCCTGAAGATCCCTGTTGCCTCTGCTGTCACTCAGCCACCTTGGGGTTGTCTGTGGTTTGGAATGTGATGTCAGAGAGAAGACAGAGGTGGCTAGGGACTTCCACAGTCTTTCCGTGCATTAAGATTTCTCTTTCCTGCCCCTTACATAAGAATGACACTGCTTGTCTTGGAGCTCTATCTCACATTTGGGTTTAAGCCATATTGCATTCAGGTCAGGGAATAAAAAAAAAACCCAAAAAACGTCAATTCACCAATAGTTTAGGTTGCTCTACTATTTTCAGCATCCTCAAATAGCTCCTCTATGCATTTGTCCAGCTTTCATAGCTGTATTTAGTGGGAGAAATGTGATAAAATGTCTTTACTATACCCTATCCAGAACTAGAGCCCTCCCATCTTCCTTTTTAACCTCTACTCTGCACTGTTTATCATCCTTCAGGAAGAGATGGATTATAGCTACTCTGACAGAAAGACTGAAGGTTCTATTCATTTTACTGTACTGTGCACACTCCAGGGTGTCAGAACCACCACTGCCAAAGGACACTGCTTTATGTCTTTGCTGTCTTTACTCTTTGGTAATCATGACCTGGGAGCACACTGAAACTAGGTTGCAATTGTTATGGTAAAGTAATACTTTTGTGCAGTGAGAAGGTGTGGTATAGGTTTTGGTTTTAGACCAGGAAAATCATCTTTTTTGCATTTGTGTTCTCACTGTAGGATAATCATGCTGTATTATCACACTGTCCTAGGTTTGCCCAAAGGACCAGCCAAAACCTTGCCTCAGGTCATACATACGATAATGTAAGTAACAAAACCCTTTCCTGGCAATTCACTCAGTCAGCCGATTATCATGGCCAAGAAGAACTGGTTATTAATTCTTATGTTCTACTCAGCATTTGTTTATACTGTATTGATGCAGCCCTTGTTAGGATTTTTATATCCTTTTTAATCTTCCTAAGGTAGACAAGTTGAGTCACGTCTTTTAGAAAGATGGTTAAAGATCGTAATTGTTGGACTGGGGATATAGTTCAGTGGTAAAATGTTTGCCTTACATGCACAAGGTTCAATTAGTAGCATTGCAAAAAATAAATAAAAACCTGCAGTTCTCAATCATCCTATCACCTAACTTATCAGCAGCATATGGCAAAATTAATCACTACTTCCCTTTTATATACATGGCTTGCAGACACTATTCCCTGGTAGCTCTTCTCTTGTTTCATTTCCATCTCTTTTGCTGGCCTTCCTCCTCTTCTGACCTTTCAGTGTTGGAAACCTCAGGGCTTCACATCTCTCAATTTATACTCATTCCTCTGTGGTCTTTCATTCTTACAGCTTGAAATAACCATTCAAATCTTGACTATCTACAAGTCAGACCCTCTCCCTAAATTAACATGCACTTTTCAGCTAATGTCACCTCTTGGTTTCTTCCCACTTCCTGCTCTCAACTGGCTCTTCTTGCAAACTCACCACCCTACGAGTAAATGGCCATTCCACTCTTTCCACTCAGGTAGAAAGTGCTTGACTTCCACCTTTTTACTTTTTACCTTTCAAAATGTGTGTTATCCATCCATACGTCACCACCCACTTCTACTTCACAATCCAAGCCATCATCAGATGGATACGGTAGCCTCTTAAGGGTTGTGCTGTTTTTGCCATTGCCGTCTTGTCCTTCCTCCTACTCCCACTATATGTCCCAATCTTTTTTTTTTTATTAGCACGTTAGTTGTACAATGTAGGGGGTTTTGTTGTGATATTTCTGAACATGGATATATTGATCATTTTCACCCCTACAATCTATTCTTATAAAAGAAACCAGGGTCTAGGCACCAGTGGCTCACACCTGTAATCCTACCTGTTTGGAAGGCTGAGACCATGAGGATCACAGTTCAAGGCTAGCCCAGGCAAAGAGTTCAAGAGACTGCCATCTCAACTGATAGCTGAGTGTGGTGGTGTGTACCTGTCCTCCCATGCTATACAGGAGGCTGAGATTGGGAGGACTGTGGTTCCAGCCAGTCTGGACAAACAAGTTTACAAGACCCCATCTCAATGGAAAAGCACTGGGCATGGTGGCATACATGCCTATCCCTGTCATCCCAGTAACAGCAGGAAGCAAAAAGTAGAACTGTGGTCTAGCCTAGTCTGGGCAAAACAGGAGATCCTATCTTCAAAATAACCAGAGCAAAAGAGCTGGAGGTGTGGCTCAAGCAGTAGAGCACCTGCCTAGAAAGTGCAAAGCTTGAGTTCAACCCTCAGTGCCTTAGTTGTGAGCCACTCCACCAGCCCTATTTTTGTGATGGGTTTTTTCAAGATAGGGTCTGGCTCCAAACCATGATCCTCCTGTTCTCTGCTAGGATTACAGGCATGAGCCACCAGCACCTGGCTAAAGTAGTCTTTTTTAAAAAAAAAATAAAGCCATTGCCACTCATTTGCTCAAAACCCACCTCCCTCATTTTCTCCTTTACTTCATTTCACTTAGTAAAAGCCTGAAATGATCTGACCCCACCCATCACCTTTTCAGCCTCTCTTCTTGCCTATACCTTGTTCACTCTGCTGTAACCATGCTGGCCTCCCCAACTTCAGACCCTGGGAACTTGCACCTCTCTGATAATCACAGGGCCCACTTAAGTCAGGGTTCTGCTTAACTGTCCCCAGCAGTAAGGCATTCCCTGACCACTGCCTATCAGGGAAGAATCCCACCCCAGCCTCTCTTCTCCCTGCTTTTTTTCCAAAACATGTGCCATCTGGCATTGATTTGTATCTGTTGATTGCTACATGAGGGCAGGAACTTGGTTTGTTTTATTGCTTTATTCCAGTGCCTGGAAGCTAGAATGTGTCTAGGACATATTTGTAGAAAGAATGAGGAAACTATAAGAAAAATATTTCTAATTCATATTGTTAGTCTTATTTTGATAGCATCACTATGTGCCTCTCTATAGATTTAAGATTTTTTTCTTCCTGTTGGAGGCTGAGATTTCACATTCAGAGTAAAACGGAATTGAACTGAGCTAAGCAATTCTTTGTTTTTACAAAGCAACACTTTTAAAATAAATTTTACATTTTATATGGGAAGTGGAATATAATGGGAATGAAGCCAGACAGAAAAGTAATAAATTTTTCAATTGGCTACTACTTAAAAACTGTAGTAATACTTAAAAATTACTAGCTCTTAACCAGTTAAGTGCATATGGTTCTTAGAATAGTGCCACCAGAAAGGCTACGAGTCTAACTAACAACGAGAAAAAGCCTAATGTGGAATGTCTGTTTGAACGTGTTATGCTTTCTTCAGTTTCTGGAACACTCACATTCAGAGTTACTACAGCCAGTTAGCCTACAGAGTGTCACAGCAACACCTTCAAACCAGAGGCTGCCACCCCTGCCCAGCAGTCACCCAGGTATGAGACCTTATTATTGGCATCAAATAAGGAGACCTGTGAGAACATCTGAGTATATCAAAAATTTATTAGTAATTGAAGATTACCAATAAAGTAACTGAAAGTAGAGGAGCTTATTTGTATTTTCAAGCTAGGTTAAGTAAATTCAGGGCTGATACCATTATGAGATTGTAAAAATGCTTGTGTTGAACTGAATGTTGTATTTGGAACATTAAGGTAAATGAATCTTTAGTTGAGGTTTGGGAATTTTTTTATTTCATATAGAGTTGAATTTAGTAGCATTTGAACACTAGTAATCGTGTTTTGATTGTATTTGTTAGAATCTTATATTTAAAATCTAAGTTAAATATTATTACACCAAATAGAATGGTGTGTATGCTCTTTGACAAGCATAACATGTATTTATTGGTCTCTTTTTTCACCTAAAGCAATGGCAAACAATGATCTCCAGTCACCCAATTACTACGAGGTAATGGAGTTTGATCCCTTAGCTCCTGCTGTCACCACAGAGTAAGTCATTTACAAAATGATTAATTTATTTTTTGTGTTGGTTCCCTTTGAAAGCAGAACTAACAGGGCCTAGTTATACATTCTAACTTTGTTTAGATTGGGTAGAAATTGAGGTTCTTATTAGAAATGATTGATAAGGTTTTATGGTGGCTGTACTCTTAATGGTTGTACAACTCTCCACCTATAACTAAAAAACTAAAAATGTTAGGGTTGCACATTAAGAAGTAACTGGAACCAACATGTACGTTAATGAATTCTTTTAGATGTCTGGCACAAAGTTATCCCTACAGCTTGAGAAGTGCACTATTCACGGTTGACCTAAGTTAATACCACAGTGACAGGATATTTGAACTGTTTCTTGAGAACTAAATCAAAAGAAAACTTGTATAAGAACTTTATAGTCTTCACCACATATGACAACAGTATGCTTAAGATGAACTCATGAAGTATTAGTGTAAAAATTTCTTTTAAACTTGAAATCCTTAGAGTACCATTATCTTATGATTTCCTGTCAATCAAGTAAGTGTATATGGGGTGGAAAACTTAAGAGTTTTAATATACTCAAAGTGACAGAAAGTTACCCCTACTCCCAAACTGTTAAAAAATGCTCACATCAAGTTTATGGAAATCATTGTTTAAAACCAGCAGCCTACAGGCCTTATCTTGCCTGCAGTTGTGTTTTAACTATGCAGAATAAGGATAAGCAAAACAAAAATTTTAAATGTGCGTTACTGGGGTATTTAAAAACAAACCTCTGCACTTCTCAATCTTTTGGGTACTATGGTGCACCAGGCTTGTATTTTTTACATGCCAGAAATGGATTAGAGTTTTATCTCCTGTGCACAAGGTAGGTGGCTGTTGTGCACCTGACCCGTATCTGTTCACTGCCTGGCATGCGTAGACATTTGATGGTTTAAATCCTCAATGTAGCCATCAATTTTGGAATAATTTATGAATGAATGTTAATAGACCTAGGAATCTGTTAAATATTTTTTCCTCATTCAGGTTTGTGAAATTTGCCTAGGTTGCTTTGCTTGATAAAGTAGATATATCACTGAATATATTAGTTGTTAAAGAAACTGGTATTAAGCCAGCTATGATTTTTAGAGCTTAAATGTAATGTTTGTGCATCCAAATAGGTAGTGGAAAAATTTTTGATTATATTCAAATTAATTAGGTAATGGCTGTAAATAGATTCGGTTGTATCACAGGTACTAAAGATAAGACAGTAGGGAAGCTAGAGAGATGAAGGTTTGGAATGCTCTACTATTGATGTTCTTCCTTTCTGGGGTTTAGAGGGCCTCAGTTTCTTTGGAAGGCTCATGAAATCCAGGGAGCTTACAAGGAAAAGCACAGAATCATGTGGAAAAGTTCTGGAGTTTTTACATTACTGGTTGTCCAAGAGCCTTACATTAAGAACTTTTGCTCCAGCAGGACCTATTTTCTGGGGGTACACACAATTCATTTATCGGATACTATGTGCGGGGAGCTATGATTGTTAAATAAGACATGCTCCCTGTCCTCAGAGAGAGTAAATACAACGTGGAGACAGAAATTAAGCAAATGAGCAGGCAAATGTGTATTTATAATTTTTGTCAATGGTATGAAAGAATATGCTATATATAACAAGAACTAATTTAAATAGGGTTAGAGAAAGCTTGAGGAGGTGACATTGTTAGTGACAAACTTGGGAATGAGTATTGTAGGCTCAGAAAACAACTTGAACAAAGAGACCAAGAAGAAAGAGAATGTGGACACATTCAAGGAATTGCAATGCCAAAACCAAGAGCTTTAACAGGAAGCCTAGAACCAGATGTGGAAATCAATATGGAAGCAAAGAGAAGGGGTGCACAATTGTGATGAACACTGCTGAGAGGACAAGTAGGATGTGGATGGTGCAGATGAAAAGAGAATCAATGATTTGGTGATAAGATGAGGTTGCCATTCATTCCTGTTAACTAAAAAAAGGTGGCTTCTTCCCAGGATATAGAGAGATTACTAGTTTAAGGAGTGTGAAGAAGTTTTAAATTGTTTCACAGAAAGTGAGAATCAAAACTTCTAAGAAAAACAGAAAATTGTAGGGCCCTGTTGTTATCATGGCTTCTGATTTCTGTGACATTTTTGCTAGCTATGCTTTCCTATATTGTGCACATAAATGTCATGTTTTTGAATGTAGTTATTTTTCTAGTGACAGGCGTATGTTAAGACATATATAAAGAACTGAAAAAATGTTATAGAAAAATTACTAAAGGTACAAAAATGACAAGTTGCAAGCTAAAGACTGCTTGGGGGTCTGAACTATAATCACAGAGGTTAAAATAGAATATTGGTATTTCAAAAACCAGCTTAATGTTTGTCTTTTTCTTAACCAAAAAGCAAACTGTACAAATTTGAGTCATATTTTTCCTTGAAATCACAAAAATGAATTGTCTTAAAAAGATACGTATTTTAACAGGCATGGGAACTACAACATTAGAATTTAAGAAAGTTAGAATCTAGGCTTCAGGATAGATGTCTTTGCTTTTACTCACTAGTGTTGCCTAACCTCCTTGGCCCATATTTTTATTTATGGTTCTGGCAGTTAAAAAGCAACATAGTATTTTGAAGTGTACATATAATCCTTTTGTTGGCTTTTTTGTTTGTTTCAGAGCTATTTATGAAGAAATTGATGTCCATTACCACAAAGGAGCTCAAAGTCATAGTGACTGTTGAGGTACAAGACTTTAATGTACACAACTTACATTCCACATTCCTTATAATTTCAGTATAATTGTCACTTTTTTATTCAGTATTTACATTTTCTAAGGACCACCTGAATCTAACAGTTTAGTGAAATATGAATTTCCCTGAATCACTCAAACTGTAATGAACTGTTGTTTACTAGTGAAAATACATTTGTCACCTTGTCAGCTATAAATGAGGCTTGGTAATGAAGAAGTTGGTTTATGGTATAGAAATATTAATGCTAACAAAAATAGATGTTCAATATAAGCTACTTTTCACTGAAATCAGGCATTTGACTTTAATGTGGAGTTAGTATGTATTAACTGGTATCAACAGAATCCAATCATTGTCAGTCCTAACATAGGTCTAAGTTTTTCCTATTTGCTGTACTAGTCATCCCACTAATTTAAATAATGAATGTCTGGTCCCCAATAACCTAAACTTTATTTCTCCCCTTTACATGTTCCACCACAAAGAAATACATTCCCACCTTCTCCCAACTTGACACTGGCTCTCCAGCCTGCCAACAGAAAAAGATAAGAAAGTTATTGATAAGTGAAGGACAGGATGGAGGAGGCTGCCTGATTTCTTCTCTTTATTTTAGGGTAAAGTGGATGATCAGCTCACTAGCAGCACAGGGGTCGTAGAACCTGTCCAGCTTTGAGGCCTGAGAGACAAGACCTACCAATACCTAAAAGCCATAGTGGGCCATTTCTACTCTGTTATAATGAAGTTTCGGTAGAAGAGTAACAGTTCTAGGACAGCAATTATAGTTCCTGGCAATGGCTTAATGTATGTTGGCTATAACAAATATTCGCTTAAACTTCAGAAGAAAAATTGCTTAGTATTTAGGCCAACCAGTTTAATTGCAGTTAATTTACACAGGCCTTCCCACATACAGAAAAGAAGTCGCCACACAGCTGTCATAAGAATAGATGAAGATTATTTTACTACAAAATAATTCTGAATAGATGTAAGGAAATGTGAGAAACTAAATACGTAATTCAGGAAGAACGAGTGCCTTCATTTAACTAAAATTGAATGTAAAAGTCAATTTGCACTTCTTTGTAAATAATACTTTGGTTTAGATTATTGTAAAGACTTGATGATTGTATTTTAATTATATTTCAAGTGCCCTAAACAGGTCATTACTAGACTTTGCATCAGGTGACCTTTATATATGATTCTTTATAATGCAAAATGTTTTTACTGTAATTAACATTTCTATTTGGAACAAAGACAACTGGAAAATACTAACAATAAGTTGTACATCATTTACATAAATTACAAAGAAAAATAAATTACTATTAAAATAATTTAACATGTCTTTTTTACAGAGTTTTGTTCCCAAAAGAACTTTTATGTCAGTAAATCTTCACAATCCCATCCTTGCATTTTAATAATTGGGGAATTAGAACTATGACAGTAAATGCTAGCCCAGCCTAGCAGATGTAATTTTTGCATTTTATTTCAATTTCATGACATCACAATTTCCAAGTAATTATTTATTCAGTACTCTGTAAAATAGCCCTAGATTTTAAAGGAAAAACAAAGTCAAATTTGAAATAAGAGTGTAATCTCTGAGCAAGATGTTAGGATTTAGTGATTCTTCTCTTTCATGTTAGTTTTTAAAATAGTGACTGTTCACACTGAAGGAAAATAGTAGTCAAAAACTATTTTAGAGGTCACAATAAATATCATCAGAATTTCTAGCCTATAGCCTAAAACAACCTTGGGCAAAAAAATTCTTATATTCATTGCTATAAGTATAAAAGGCAAATAATTTGGAAGGCAGCTACAGAATTAAGGAAATATCCATCCATGTCTATATATTTAAGAAACAGAAGCTTCTTTCAATACCATAAGTGTGGCATTGAACAGTCACACATTCTTCATAGGCATGTGGGTTTCTTATGATAAAAGCTGAAAGTGTTCTCTCAATAAATGGGATAAGTTAGGGAAAAAGAAAAGTAGATCTTCTTAAAATAGAAAGCTTCAATTCACATTATTTTAAGAATATTTCTCTTTTGAGAAGGCAGGATACATGATTTTTCAAAAATCACAAATATGAAGTAGGTCTTGGTTGCTACTTCAATTATAGCCTGGAACTGGTAATTTGTGCCCTTCCTTTGCTTCAAAAAAAGTATAAGAAAGAGTGATGAGATCAACATTCACCATTCTTGGATCTTCAGCAAATTCAGGATCAATGTAGAAAAACACTGGCATATCTACTTCCTCTTGGGGATTAAGCCTTTGTTCTTCAAAACAGAAGCACTAGAAGTTATAGAAAGGTACATGTTTAATAATATTTCTATTCAATTAAAGTAATAGTTCATTTCTTGACTTTAAGTTCTGTGATAAAATAACAGCATCCTTTCATCTTACACTGATTTTAAGGACTGAGAATCAAACTGTAATCTTAAAAGCAGACATTCATTTGTTTTGGCTCTCAATCTCTACATAGCAGATATGTAGAGATGAAGATAAATGGCTTGAAGTTTAAATGAAAAGGTTTTAGAAATTAAAGTTATCTACTAAAACACTATAACAAGTTTCATACAGTTTCATGTACCTTTATTATATTGTATAAAGTTTACAATTTACCTGTATTTTATTGAAATACTGCCCAGCTTCAAATGGTACAACATTATATGTAGAAATTCCAATTATTGGTTTGTCAGTAGGATTCTTCGCTTTATAAAATGCCAGTGCAGTTTCTCCTGGTACCACCTATTTTAAAGAATACACACTATCAACATTTTAAATTTCCCACAGCTCCTTTTTTCCCTACTAAAATTACATTCATATTATTTTTCTTCATCAGACTACAATACCTAATCTAAACAAATGTCAGGTTGTGAATAGTATTCCACAAACCTATCTTAAATTTAAGTTTTATTTGCATTTGTCAATGAAGAAACAGTGTTGCAGTGAATAATCAGTTGTGGGTTATCCTCTTATATACCTGATATCTTCAAGCAATAATCTGTAAATTAAGTTATTTAAAATGTGTCCAAGGAACAGGACTCACTCGTGTAATCTTACCTACTTAGGAGGCTGAGATTGGAAGGATTGTGGTTCAAGGTCACCCTGGGAAAAAAGTTCCTGAGACCCCCCCTCCATCTCAACAAATAGTCAGGTGCAGTGGTGCACACCTGTCATTCACACTATGGCCAAAGCAAGTTTCTGTCTCCAAAATAACCAGAGTAAATAGGGCTGGAGATGTGGTTCAAGTAGTTGAGTGTACCAGTCTATCAAACGCAAAGTGCTGAGTTTGTACCTCAGTGCCACCAAAAAAAAAAAATTTAACAAAAATAAAAATGTGTCCAAAGACAATCCAAACATTCATGGCCCAACCATAACTTCTTTATAACACTTAAACCTGAACGTCATGATTGACAACTTTTTAAAGGATATCAACGTTAAACTTAATTTAAGTCATAGCAAATTAAATTTATAAGCAAATGACTGAATATTACCTTTAATAAACTAATAAATGTCAATGCTTTGATAAAATTAGCAAGGTTTTAAAAAAAATTTTCCAAAAGATATTCTGTTGCTTGTACAAATTCACTATTAATGCAACTGGAACTAATACACAAAATCCTAACCTGTAAAATCCTGAACCATGAAGAGATTCAGCTACTTTTACTAAACTGGACCAGCATGGATATTTGTAAGGGTTCACCAATAAAGATTGTGACTAATCCGTAGTGAATGAACAATTTTCAGCTAAAATCCTCTGAAGATTGCAGCTAGTCAAAATTTCAGGAAATGCATTAGATATGGTCTTACTTATGCATTAGATAGTGAATAATGTAACTATTCACTATCTCTTAATACTATCTAAATATTTATTTCAAAAGCCTTCAAAGATTGTTATTTTTGCTGGGATGTTAGCTCAGTGGTAGAGTACTTGCCTAGTATGTACACAACCCAAGGCTCAATCTCCAGTACTGTCCCACACCCAATTTTTTTTCTTTTAGAGGGACAGAGATACTTTTGATATAAACAAATAAACCACTTTTTCCTCTTTTTTTTTGCCTCAGACTACAATTCTCTCCTATCTCACCTATATGTCAAGTGTACCTGGTATTACAAGTATGTGCCACCATGCTCAGTTTAGTGTTGAGATGCACTTCACTAAGTTTTTCCCTGGCTGGCATGGAACCTTAATCCTCCCAATCTCCATCTCCCAAATAGCTGGGATTATAGTTGTAATCCACCACACCCAGCTAACTACTTATTGTAACCAAGGATTTTCAACATTTTTTCTGTATTTACATCTGAGGAAAAGTCAGGAAGCATTTAGCATGATAGGTACTGCCAAACCAAACTGATAGAACAGATGACATTTTTCATTATTCCAAGCTGAATTTTACTATTATGCAACTTTTACATACAGCTGGGTGTGTTAGTACATACCTGTAATCACAGCACTCGGGAGGCAGAGGCAAGAGAATCACGAGTTTGAGCCCAGCTTGGACTACACAGTGAGACCTTGTCTCAAAAAAACAAACACAACCAAAAGAAAATTGAAGTGTATATTCTGTTACATTGGGTATACAACACTACCAAAAAATAGTCATGTCAAAACACTAACAGATTTCATGAATAATTATATTCCATGAAGATATGTAGAATTACTAATGGAATCTGTTAGTATTTTGAAATAAAGTTTAGATGAGTGGAAGTTTAAGTGATAAAAATATCTTACACTGAAGGAAGAAGAGTTCTAATGAGTGCTTTAGTCACTTACATATATTTCTGTTTGCTGTGGTCTGAAATTCCACTGGAGACTTGCATGCACATCTGCATTGAAAGTAATCTTAATAATTCGATCCTTAACAGGCACCATGTTTTCAATTTGGTCTGATGCATGACCTGCTACTGCTGATCCTCCAAGTCCTGTCGTCTAGAAAAAAAGACATTAAGCATGTTAATACTTCTAGGTATTGATCTAGTTACTGGACAAAAGTAAAATTTTAAAAGCAATTTAATATTCCAGTTGAAGCCAAGTTTTTGTATTATTATTATTGACCATTTCCTATAACTGTGTCAATGATTTGCCCAATTTTGGGGCAATAAGAGCCTAAATTTATTAATATAATTCCTATTTTTAAGCAATCCCTTGATTATCTGGCATGGTCAGAAATGAGTTATCTGGAAAAAGGAGATTCTGTATATAAGCAAACTATTGTCGCTGATACTAAAGCACAGAATTTCCTGCTGAACCTTTTATTATACATACATTCCTTTATTGCTTATATCTTACATCAACTATTACTTCCTATCTGTTATTGCTAGTATTTTATATTAACTTATTCACTAAAAGAAACAAAATTTACCCATGACCTGATCATTTCAACAAAAACACCTAATATTTCCTTTTCCACATCACAATTCAAATTACTTTGTATTTTGACTCTGTGTCCTGATTTCTAAGGCATAAGCACTTCCCCATGTCAATTAATGTTTCTGTATCATTTTCCAACATCTCTGCATAAATATATTGTTTTGTATCTTTTATAGATTTCACCAGTTAAGGAGTACACTTGATTCCTCTGGCCACTGAATCAACCTATCTTAAGGCATCAGAATAATTTGTGCCTGACATTTCTTCATTGCCCTTACGTTATATTAGATGCTTTGAAACAAAAAAGTCCTTACTTCCAAGGTTGCCATCCTTCAGATGCTTGAGATTGCCAGAATTCTGGTTTCCAGATAATTTACCTGTTACTATACTAGGAAAAAAATACCAAATTTGAGGCTACAGGAAAGACTCCCAGCAAGATGTATGTTTATTATACAAGCAACCTAACTTCACTCAACTGCCATTTAAGATTATCAAGTTACATTAAAAACTAAAAGATGCAGCAGAGAACAAGTCTTTGTTTTTAACAAATAAGTTCATTCTTGCAAGAGAACTATCACATTTGAATTTTAAGATATAACTTTTTCCTAAAGAATTTAATTCACTTCAAAAAAAATTATGTCCTTCCTCAGTAAAGATTCAATGTATTCTTTAAATATAGAGTCTTCAACTTTCTAAGTTCAATGCTTAAAGAAATTTCCATAGACAAAGTTGAAAAGACGTCATGTGGTCAAGTCTCGTTCTGCCACTAATGGAATAAATCTTACTTCCTTTGGGTTACATTTTACATACTCAAAAAATAAATCACTGTATTAAGAGGCTCGCATTATTCCTTATTCCTGGCTCTAAAATTGTGCGATTGCAGAAGTAATTGATTTGTTCTGTTTAACATCCCAACTTGCTTTTTTGGGTTACAAATTACATTTTTTTAAATACCTTCCAGCTCTCCAACTGCATGTGAATGAACACAATATTGTCAATTCAGTTTGGAACAGGGTTTCTTAATCTCAGCACTACTGACATTTTGGGTTGGATAATTCTTTGTTGGTAGGGTAGGGTCATCTGAAAACCAGTGTCTCTAACCTCTACCCACTAGATGCCAGAAACAGCCTATCATCTTCTCCCGAGGTGTGACAACTAAAAATGCTTCAAACATTGCTACATATTCCCTGGGGGACAAAAATCACTCCCCTCCAGCCCCTGGGGGTTTGAGGAAGTTCTATACTTGATTTGGATTCAGGTCTGCTTATGATTAATTGGTACTTTGGGGTTTGCCTGTGGAAAAAAATTCACATTCTAGACCCATTCTCCAAAAAACAAGCTACTGCGCATCCCCACATAAATGCTGATATTAGGAGACTGGAAAGAAAAGCTCCTTTGACCTTGGCTACTTCACCATCTAAAAGGTAATTGGTCTATAAAGCTAGGGGAAGTAAGGCAGCCATTAAAATTGGTGACAGGAAAGAGCAGAAACCTCTCCTGCTGTGAATACCAGTCACAGGACTGATTAAGGTACTGATTCCCCAACTTTGCTGCATGCTGAGAATTATTTGGAAATTACTGGTGCGAGGCTGTCACACAGACATTGTGATTTAACTGGCAAGGCCTATGGTCTGAGCATCAGGATTTTAAAAACTCTCCAGAAGTTAGTAGGTATAGGTAAGAACTTTCTCAATGAAACCCCAGCAGCACAGCAACTAAGAGATAGCATAGATAAATGGGACCTCATAAAACTAAAAAGCTTCTGTTCATCAAAAGAAATGGTCTCTAAACTGAAGAGAACACCCACAGAGTGGGAGAAAATATTTGCCAATTATACATCAGACAAAGGACTGATAACCAGAATATACAGGGAACTTAAAAAACTAAATTCTCCCAAAACTAATGAACCAATAAAGAAATGGGCAAGTGAACTAAACAGAACTTTCTCAAAAGAAGAAATTCAAATGGCCAGAAAACACATGAAAAAATGCTCACCATCTCTAGCAGTAAAGGAAATGCAAATTAAAACCACACTAAGATTCCACCTCACCCCTGTTAGAATAGCCATCATCAGCAACACCACCAACAACAGGTGTTGGCGAGGATGCGGGGAAAAAGGAACCCTCTTACACTGTTGGTGGGAATGTAGACTAGTACAACCACTCTGGAAAAAAATTTGGAGGCTACTTAAAAAGCTGGACATCGATCTACCATTTGATCCAGCAATACCACTCTTGGGGATATACCCAAAAGACTGTTACTCCAGAGGCACCTGCACATCCATGTTTATTGCGGCACTATTCACAATAGCCAAGTTATGGAAACAGCCAAGATGCCCCAGCACTGACGAATGGATTAAGAAAATGTGGTATCTATACACAATGGAATTTTATGCAGCCATGAAGAAGAACGAAATGTTATCATTCGCTGGTAAATGGATGGAATTGGAGAACATCATTCTGAGTGAGGTTAGCCTGGCCCAAAAGACCAAAAATCGTATGTTCTCCCTCATATGTGGACATTAGATCAAGGGCAAACACAACAAGGGGATTGGACTATGAGCACATGATAAAAGCGAGAGCACACAAGGGAGGGGTGAGGATAGGTAAGACACCTAAAAAACTAGCTAGCAGTTGTTGCCCTTAATGCAGAGAAACTAAAGCAGATACCTTAAAGCAACTGAGGCCAATAGGAAAAGGGGACCAGGAACTAGAGAAAAGGTTAGATCAAAAAGAATTAACCTAGAAGGTAACACCCACGCACAGGAAATCAATGTGAGTCAATGCCCTGTATAGCTATCCTTATCTCAACCAGCAAAACCCCTTGTTCCTTCCTATTATTGCTTATACTCTCTCTACAACAAAATTAGAGATAAGGGCAAAATAGTTTCTGCTGGGTATTGAGGGTGGGGAGCGGGAGGGGGTGGAGTGGGTGGTAAGGGAGGGGGTGGGGGCAGGGGGGAGAAATGAACCAAGCCTTGTATGCACATATGAATAATAAAAGAAAAATGGAAAAAAAAAAAGAAAAAGAAAAAAAGAAATAAATAAATAAAAAAATAAAAACTCTCCAGATGATTCCAGTGTCGAACAGTGTTTGAGTCACTATCTTAAACACTAACTGAATGAACACAATATATAGCTATCACTTGAAAATCCTCAAGTGATGAATCTTCAGTGATTTTAATGAAAGCCATAACTTCATAATCAGAAAATTCATAGAATAGGTGAAGCTAGACTTCACCAGTGGTTCTTAAACATAAGCCTGCTTCTGAGTCAGCTAAAGTACTTAGTAAAACAGGATTGCTGGTTCCCTGTCCCCAGGGTTTTGCTTTCAGTAATTTCTGAAGTTGGGCTGAAGAACTTTAGCTCTTAACAGATTCCCAGGTGATGCTGAGACCACTGTTTCTGGGGCCAACATTCAGAATACTACAAGTTCTGATCTAAAACAGAGCCCAAGGTAATTCCATTCTTTACAGCTATATAGAAGAGGAGGCAGCAAGCTCTAAAGGCCTAATTCACACACCTCTGTGTGGATACATTTACCCACACAAAGACTCAATCCCTGAAATACTCAGCATAACTCCCATTTCTAGGGCTAACCTTAGCATATAAACCACATGTGGTTCTCAGAATGAACCTGACAATGCAAATTAACTATGTGACGCATAGGCAGATGGCTGGGTACCTGAGTAGAGAATGCAAACCTGTTTGCTGGGGTGGAGCTCAGAAATCTGGGAATTTCACTGCGGTGTGGTACAAACCTGGACAGCATGGGGACCAGGTCCACTTGCAGTTTTTTCTCTACCTTCCTTGGTGATCCCGGGCCAGTCATTGCTTTGATGGACAACTTCGACCTTCACTTCCCACCATGACCTTGCAGAGTGATGGGCAGGGCGCTGTCCCTCGCCCCTTCGGAAGACACTGCCCACTGGTCCCTACCTGGCAATACAGCCGATATAGGGGCACGGCGGCGTAGGAGGCGCCCAGCATGCCCACGGCGGCCGCGGCCACATACGTGAGGACAGTCTTGTTTCGCCGCCGCCACTCGTCCTCCTGCGCGCGCGAAAAAGGGTTTGTGCCCTTGGGCCGCCGACACGACTCCATTGCCGGCGCCCGGGCCAGGCTTGGGCGCTTCCATGTCCCAAGCCGCCTCAGTCCCTTCTCCGGACCTGCGGTCCCACTCCACCAGGACCTCAGAAACGGCTCTACTCTCTCCGCAGCCCTGGTCGGAGATACAGGGTGGCTCCAGAGCCAGCCACAGAAAGCGATACGCCTCCATCCCGGATGCCAGAGCCCTCCCATCGCCCCCGGAAAGAACGCCCGCCTGTCAGGACCTAGAGGTCATATCTCGCGAGACCTGTTGAGTCTCGCGCGATCTGAGTTGCACCGCCTTGCTGCCTTGACTACCAGGCTCCTCAGGTACCAGCGGGCTACGGAGGCCGTGATGTGGGTAAGTTCGCGTTTTGCTTTCATGGCTGTTCGTGCCACTTTTCCTTCTCTCCAATATCTCTTTAACATACTGTGAGGAAAAAAACACTTCGGACCTCCGCGTGCAAGCTCATCTTCTTTTGGGATCGTGCCGCTGATCTTCGGAAACTCCATAGCCTTTGTCTGGACCTGGCTGCCCCCAGCGGCCGCTCTCCCGAGGGTCCTCTATCTAGCTGGGGTTCCAGGCCACTGCCCTGGACGTGGGCTCTGGAATCGCCTCTCTCAGGAAGCCTGCCCGGGCTAACCACAGCACTCTCTGCCTTTCTTAGCCCCTAGGCTAAGCTGCCAGGCTTAGCCAGGCTCTGACGTCCCTTTACTGCTTTCCTCAGTGAAAGTCGCCCCACCTGCAGGGGGAAAGACGCTGGCGTCCTCAAGTTTGCTCAGAAGAAGTGATGGAAATGTGAGGGTCATTCAAGGAGGGACTGAAGTTTGAAATGCGGATATTCCTCTTGGGGAAAACGGGAAAAGGAACGAAACACCCAAAAAAACAAAGTGGGAGGGATGCAATAGCTTTCTCGAGCTGTCTCATAGAACCATCTAGGACCGTAAGAGGTTAGATGGTTATTTCTATATTGAACTAAAGGAGGCATCTTTCTAGAAACTAAAATAGTGGTGAAGAACCCAGGTTCTGAGGTTAGGCATTGCTGCATTTTTACCTGGGTTCTCACCATGGCCCTGACCTGGCCTTAGTATACCGGTTATTTGATCTCGCTAAGACTTGGTGGCCTTATTTAAGATGGGAATCATATAAAGTGATTTTCACAATCCCTGAGTCAAAGAATTTGGTAAACCTTGGATTTTAATGTCAAGCAGCTGTAATTATCTCCTTTTATGAATGCGGAGACTGAAGGCCTGAGAAACTTTTTAAGTCATTCACTATTTATTTATTACACTCTTACTGTGAGCCAGACATTCAATCTATGGAGGTTATTGCCCAAAACAGGTCCGATAAGATCGCTACTGTTATAGGATTGTACTTTCTACTGGAGGACTCAGGAGATAATCAAGTGATGCATAAATAATAAAATTTCAGATAACAATCAGTGCAATGAAGACAGTGGAGTGACGTAAAATAACTGGTGATGATGCATTTCTGAAGAGGTAAAAGTAAGGGCTTTCTAGAGGTGACATTTGAGCCTACCCCTGCACCATGACAAGTAGCTACCTAGGCAATGGCAATCCCAAGTCATACAAAGGCCCAGAGGCTTTTGAACGGAAGACCAAAAAGGAGGCCACTGTGTTCCTAGCATAGTGAGCAGAGGGGACAGTGGAAGGAAATGGGGTCAAAGCAGGTATACACAGGTGTGGTATTATAAAGCCTTTTAAACTATGGCCAAAAGAAACTACTGGGAGTGATATTATCTGATTTGATTCACATTGGTAAAAAGATACTGGTAGCTTTGTGAGAATGAACTAAGGGAAGAGAACAAGAATAAAAACAATAGTTAGGAAGGAAGTGCAGTTGTCTCGTGCATGGTGATGGTCACCTTGAATGAGTAATTAATTAACTTTTGGTCACAAATTTCAGGGCCAATAAAAGTACTTTGAAGTAAATGTAAAAGCACTTTGTCCAGGAAAGATGGGAATTAGACTCCTGATTTTACAGATGAGGAGCTAGGCTTAGAATGATGAAGCAACTTGCCCAAGCACATTCAGTTGGGTAGTGGCAGAACTAGAGCTTAAGGTTGAGTTTTTTCTGACTCCTTGCTAGTTTTTCTGCACTGTGTAGAAACCAGCTTTGTCATGGACAACAATATCAACAAATATACAACAGCTTTACCTTTCCAGATTAGGAAATATTTCTTCTGCCTCAGTTAAAATCACCGTTAATCTGTTTGTTTGTCTGTGTAATTGTATGTCTGTGGTGCATTTATTTTTTTATTTGTTCATTTATTCATATGTGCATACATTGTTTGGGTCATTTATCCTCACTGCTCCCAGCCCCCTCTCTCTCCCCCCAACTGACCTCACTTCCAGGTAGAACCTGTTCTGCCCTTTTCTCCAATTTTGTTGAAGAGAAGACATAAGCAATAATAAGAAAGACATAGCGGTTTTGCTAGTTGAGATAAGGATAGCTATACAGAGAGATTCCTAGCATTGCTTCCATGTACAAGTGTGTTACAACCCAAGTTGATTCATCTCTACCTGACATTTTCACTAGTTCCTGATCCCCTTCCCATATTGACCTCTGTCACTTTAAGGATACTGGTATTAGCTCCTCTGTAGTGGGGACATCAATCACTTTCAAGTTTTGGATTTCCTACGTATCCCCATACCTCTGGTATGTGCTCTCCCCTTAGCGTGTGACCCAAGTCCAACAACATTACTGCCTTTGCCCTAGATCTAAAGTGCACATATGAGGGAGAACATAAGATTTTTGGTCTGCTGAGCCTGGCTAACCTTGCTCAGAATGATGTTCTCCAGTTTCATCCATTTACTTGAGAATGATAAGATTTCATTCTTCTTCATGGCTGAGTAAATTCCATGTTTATAAGTACCACATTCTCTTAATCCATTCGTCAGTAGTGGGGCATCTTGGCTATTTCCATAACTTGTCTATTGTGAATAGCACTGCAATAAACATGAGTGTGCAGGTGCCTCTAGAGTAACTTGAGTTGCATTCCTTGGGTATATCCCTAGGAGTGGGATTGCTGGATCATATGGCAGATCTATGTTTAGATTTTTAAAAAGCCTCCATATTTTTTTCAGGAGTGTTTGCACTAACATGCCTTCTCACCAGCAGTGTACGAGGGTTCCTTTGTCCCCACATCCTCACTAACACCTGTTGGTGGTGGTGTTTTTGGTGATGGCTATTTTAAATGGGTGAGGTGGAATCTTAGGGTGGTTTTGGTTTGCATTTCCTTTATGGCTAGAGATGGTGAACATTTTTTCATGTGTTTTTTGGCCATTTGAATTTCTTCTTTTGAGAAAGTTATGTTTAGGTCTGTTGCCCATTTAATTGGTTCAATGATTTTTGGGAAAGTCTAGTTTTTTAAGTTACCTGTATATTCTGGTCATCAGATCTTTATCTGATGTATAGCTGGCAAATATTTTCTCCCACTATGTAGGTGGTCTCATCAGTTTAGAGACCATTTCTTTTGTTGTACAGAAGCTTTTTAATTTTATGAAGTCCCATTTATCCATCCTTTCTCTTAGTTGCTGAGCTGCTGGGGTTCTATTGAGAAGTCCTTGCGTATACCTATTACTTCCAGGGTATTCCCTGCTCTTTCCTGTACTAACTTCAGAGTTTTGGGTCTGATATTAAGATCCTTGATCCATTTTGAGTTGATACTAGAATAGGGTGATAAATGTGGATCTAGTTTCAGTGTTTTGCAGACAGATAACCACTTTTCCCAGCAACATTTGTTGAACTGTCTGTCTTTTCTCCATTGTATGTTTTTGGCACCTTTGTCAAAAATAATGTGGGCATAGCTGTGTGGATTCATCTCCGGGTCCTCTATGCTATTCCGTTGGTCTTCATGTCTATTTTTGTGCCAGTACCTTGCTGTTTTTATTGCTATTACTTTGTAATATAGTTTGAAGTTGGGTATTGTGATACCATCAGCTTTGCTTTTTTTGCTGAGTGTTGCCTTGGCTATTCGTGGTCTCTTGTGTTTCCAAATGAACTTTAGGGTAGATTTTTCAATCTCTGTGATGAATGTCATAGGGATTTTGATGGGACTTGCATTAAACATGTAGATTGCTTTTGGTAGTGTAGCCATTTTTACTATGTTGATTCTACCAGTTCATGAGCATGGGAGATCTTTCCACCTTCTGTAGTCTTCCTTGATCTCTTCAGGAGTTTGTAGTTCTCCTTGTAGAGGTCATTCACATCCTTTCTTAAATTTACTCCTATGTATTTAATTTTTTTGAGGCTATTGTAAATGGAATTGTTTCCATATATTCTTTCTCAATTTGTTTGTTGTTGGTATATAGAAAAGCTAATGATTTTTGTAAGTTGATTTTGTATCTTGCCACCTTGCTGTAGCTGTTTATGGTGTCTAGGAGTTTTTCGGTAGAGTTTTTTGGGTCTTTAAGATATAGGATCATGTCATCTGCAAATTGGGATATTTTGACAGTTTCTTTACCTATTCATATTCCTTTTATTTATTCTTCTTGCCTAATTGCTCTGTCTAGGAATTCCAGAACTATGTTGAATAGGAGTAGGGATAGTGGACACCCTGTCTCATTCCTGATTTTAGGGGAAATGGTTTCAGTTTTTCTCCATTAAGTTTGATGTTGGCTATAGGATTGTCATATATAGCCTTTACAATGTTGAGGTACATTCCTTCTATTCCGAGTTTTGTTAGAGCTTTTATCATGAAGTGGTGTTGGATTTTATCGAAGGCTTTTTCTCCATCTATTGAGATGATCAAGTGGTTTTTGTCTTTTCTTCTATTAATGTGCTGTATTACATTTATAGATTTGTGTATGTTGAACCACCCCTGCATCCCTGGGATGAAGCCAACTTGGTTGTGGTGAATGATCTTTCTGATGTGGTGTTGGATTCAGTTTGTCATTATTTTATTGAGGAATTTTGCATCGATATTCATTAAGGAGATTGGCCTAAAGTTCTCCTTTTTGGAGGTGTCTTTGTCTGGTTTTGGGATGAGTGTAATACTGGCTTCATAAAATGAGTTAGGCAGTGTTCCTTCCCTTTCTATTTAGTGGAAAAGTTTAAGGAGAGTTGCTATTAGTTCTTCTTTAAACATTTGATAGAATTCAGCAGAGAATCTATCAGGTTCTGGACTTTTCTTTTTTGGGAGACTCTTTATTGCTGCTTCAATTTTATTTTGTGTTATCAATCTATTCAGGTGATTAATATC